GCTAAGTTATAAAACACGGACTCTTCGAGTGGACTCACTTTTCAGGCTAAGCCCAAGAATACTCAAAATTACATCCCAGCAACAAAGCAACTTTTCCCTTGAAATACATCTTTCACTACATTAATTTTCTTGTAGTGCTTTTCTGTTCTTACTAAATAGAAGATTTGAATGTCACAATTTTCACTGGAAGTCCAGGAGAAAGTACTCAAAATCTGATACTGAATATTCTACTCCTAGAACCAGCGTCTATTCTTAGGGATGTATACAAAGAGGCAAAGTCCTGTCTTCAGCTGACACTAGTGAGAGAATCATGTGGAGGAAACTTATTAGTCTCAAAATATTAAATTTTCCTCTTTGTCTGACATTTTATAAGGCTCAGTTGCTGCTTCACCCCTTCTATCCCTCCCTTACCGCTGGCATTTTTTTGGCTGAAAGTTTTGCCCATAATTTAACAAGGTAGTTTCTGTCTGTAGAATGCAGGAAATCAGCCATATTTGAAGAAATATACTTTGTAGGATGCACTTCAGATGTCAGATGGGATGTCTTAACATCTGGTAGAAAAAAACAAAATAAAGTTTAAAATAAAAGGCATCATATAAGGAAAATTTCTGAAGTGATAGAAATGTTTTATATTTTTATTTCCCCAAACATAACAGTTGGATAAAGTCTGTGCATTTCACCTTGAAAATAAAATAAAAATATATCTTAGAATAAAATAACTCAATAAAGTCAGCCTATAATACCTAATAGACATATCCTCTGAATATATCCAATACTCAATCAATTCAGGTTTATTTTAAATATAATCAAAAGAAGTAAAACATTTCATAAACAGTGGCTTCTAGATACTTAATTGAAAAGTTACTCTTATAATGAATTTTCATTTGATGAAATTCCAAAAGGCTAAAAGGAAAATAAACTACGCAATGCTAAGAGGCTTTGAAAGAGAATGGAATGGATGATGAGGGCACTGTTTAACAGAATTATTCATAAATAATATCTAATATTTTATTTAAGATGTTAGAATGTTTCAGAGACCTAGAATATAAGAATAAATTTTTATTCTTATTTATGTAAAACTTACATATAAATTTTTATTACTGCTCATTCACAGAGGGCCTAGGAGAAAATCGCTTTAGCCATATGGGAGCATCAACATTTTCAGGAGTATTGCTTTGAAAATGCTAAAATAAATGACATTCACATGTATCTTCAGTCAATATGATGAACTAAGCAGAAGTGGGAAGCTACCCCCACCCAAAGATGAAAGAAAATACTAATGTATAACATAAATTTGTTTTGTTTTTAATACATAATAAGACAGAAACCAAGAAAGAAAATGTGCTAGGTGGTACAAGTGTAGTGAAGACTGAAATTCAGAGCAGTGAGAATTGATCGGGGCAGAGGTTTGAACACATGGCCTGAGAGGGGAAGCCACAGTCCTTGCATGCTTGGCAATACAAAACCTGGACTTGGCCAGGTGCAATGGTCCACACCTGTAATCTCAGCACTTTGGGAGACCAAGGCTGGCGGAACGCTTGAGCCCAGGAGTTTGAGATCAGCCTGGCCAATATGGTGAAACCCCATCTCCACAAAAATTAGCCTGGTGTGGTGGTGTGTGCCTGTAATCCAAGCTACCTGGGAGGCTAAGGTGGGAGGATCACTTGAGCCCAGGAGGTAGAGGCTGCAGTGAGTCATGATTCTGCACTGCACTCCAGCCTGGGTGACAGAGTGAGACCCTGTCTCAAAACAATGACAAAAGGAAAAAAAATGACCTGGACTGTTTGATCAGGTGACAAATTGGAAAAAGGGTGTCTGGAAATGTCAGTCCACAGACCTAGGGACTTTGCCTGGGCACAGATGCTCACCTAACCAGACAATAGAAACACCTGTGGGAAATCAGACTCTGATTTGGTTTGGAATATCAACTTGAACTCCCCCAAATTGTGTGGCAATCCCAAACCAATAAAACAAGGTAAAAGTTGTTGCAGACAAGTGAAAGTATTTAATCATGGTAAGAAAGTCTAAAGTTCCACCCAGCCCCCGTCTTAAGAGAGGGAGATTCAACAGATGCAACAAATGTGCCAGGACTATATCCAAAGAATTCCAGGTAATAGAACAATCTAGAAAGGAACATTAAAGAAACTATGTTTAACCACAGAGTGATAAAATGAGACAACTGTACCCAAAAACATTCTCTGCTGTATCTCTGTGATTAAAAAAAAAGGGCACTTGACCCATATTTATTGAGTATCTGCTATGTGCCAGCTGGTGCTCTGGATGCTGGGGATATCACAGTAAATAAAAAGTTCTTGACCTGTGGGGATTGCATTCCAATATTGGAGGCAGATAAATAACACATTAAATAATGTCAGGTAATGGACAAGAGTGACAAAGAAAGAGGAAGCTGGATGAGGGAACCGCATGAGAGATGGCATGGTGGTCAGAGGAAGTCCTCTCTAAAGTGGTGACATCTAAACAAACATGAAAAGGCGTAAAGAAGAACAGCATTCAAACATCTGGGGAAACCTATGTCAGATAGAAAAAGGGGCTGGTATAAGGACATGTCCTTAATATAACTGCATCACAGTAAATAATTCAGAGTGGCTGAGGCAGAAACAGAGAGAGAAAGAGAGAGAGAGGAGGTGCATCCTGTGCTAAATTATCTTTTGGGGAAAAAAAAAAACAACCTTGTCCTGTTGATGACACTCTAAGCACAGAGCATTAGGAAAAAGACCAGATGAACTGGAACCACATAAATAAGATAAAATTTAAAGAAATAAAAGCTATATTCATTGAAATAATTTCTATAGAGAAGATCCTATATAGTATATAAAAGTTTATTCAAAAATATAATTTTTGTGTATGGGTTCCTTTTTCCAGTTTTCTAAGATATAAGCTGTCTGTACCATGGTGTAAACAAGTCGATTTCAATCTGATGACACAATGAAGCTATAATTCCAATAATGTAATGTCTGAATGATTTCTCAGCAACAAAACATTCTGGGTAAAGATAATGTGTTTAAATTACTATTAAACTACATTGTAATACTACCACTTTAATGACTTGAACTCCTATAATGTGGAGTTTCATACAGTTCTTAATATATTGTCTAATGACTTAATACATCAACGGACAAAAGAGCTTATTTCCCAATTTAAGAAAAAAGCCATAATTACCAATGTTATAACACCATGAAACAAATTTTCTTAATGTGATTTTATTCAAACTATCTAAATTAAAGTCAACCTTGAGGCAGCACTTTAAATATATATAAACTACTTTACTGTCCACAAAAAGAAGGAAGTTCTTCAGCATATAGGCTAGTTAAATTTATTTAAATACCTTCAATGAAGCATAAATGAAGTTAATGATCCTAGGCAGATTTTTAAAGTTCTGTTATGGATTAGTATCATTACAAATGCAGGAAAATATAAATGAAGTATCTGGAACAACTGGAACTACATTTCAAATTAATTCTAAATGGCTTAGATCTTTAATATTAGACATACTCATTTGAGGTCAAACAAATTAAAATAATATTTGCATAAAACATTTTAAAAGAATAAGCATAAAATCCAACCTAAATAACAAAAGCAGTAGAGGCCATGTACCTACGAATAAAAGATTTATATGTATATTTAACATTGTATCATCACACAGACTAAACAGGGCCATTTAATGCATAAAGGAAAGGAAAAAATAGAAGAAGTTGATGATCTGGTATCACAGGCACAGAGCCAGGTCAATAACTAGTGATGAACTTACCATACGGGGATCAGATTGTAAATATTTTGAAAAACACAATCTCTATTTTAATGACAAGTGTTTCTGCATTTGTAAGATTTCTTATACAGCAAAGCAATTTAGTCATTCTCCTGTCCAAAAATGTACTGATTACTTTTCAATATGAGCTTTTAACATTTAAATAAAACCTTGCAAAAAAATGTATCAACACTAGAATTGATCTCTCTTTGAAAGCAGTTAGTCATGGATGACTTGGAAACAGGATTTAATTTTAAAATAACAGTCCTCAGATGCACAAATGACTTCAAAATCGCTTATTTTTTACCCCTCACTGAAATGGAGCTTTGTAATCACAGCACTTTGGGAGGCCAAGGCAAGCCGATCGCCTGAGGTCAAGAGTTCAAGATCAGTCTGGCCAACATTGGTGAGACCCTGTCTCTACTAAAAATATAAAAATGAGCCAAGTATGGTGGCATGCACCTGTAATCCCAGCTACCGGGTAGGATGAGGCAGGAGAATCACATGAATCCAAGAGATGGAGGTTGCGGTGAGCTGAGATCCCACCACCGCACTCCAGACTCCACTGGGCAACAGCAGAGTAAGACTCCATCTAGGGCCAGATACAGTGGCTTACACCTGTAATCCCAGCACTTTAGGAAGCCAAAGTGGGTGGATCACGAGGTCAGAAGATTGAGACCATCCTGGCTAACATGGTGAAACCCCATCTCCACTAAAAATACAGAAAACTAGCCAGGCGTGGTGGCGGGTGTCTGTAGTTGCAGCTCCTCAGGAGGCTGAAGCAGGAGAATCACTTGGATCCAGGAGGCGGAGGTTGCAGTGAGCTGAGATTGTGCCAGTGCACTCCAGCCTGGGCTGCAGAATGAGACTTCGTCTCAAAAAAAAAAAAAGACTCAGTCTAAAACACACACACACACACACACACACACACACACACACAACCCATATGGTGAGGAGTTTTTTTAAAGGAAAAAGTAACAAGAATAATTCATACATACCTACAATGATTAAATGTATAGACTCAGTCTAAAAAACCACACGCATACAAACAAACAAAAAACAATATAGTGAGGGTTTTTTGAAAAAAAAAAAAAAAACTAACAAGAATAATTCATACTTACAATGATTAAATGCATATATATGTATGATGTAAATACCTGTAAAGTCTGAATAAAAGTCATTATATGGAAATATGTAATCACAAAAAGAGCTTAAAAGAAAACACAGTCTGCTATCAAATTTTAAATCTTTTTAATATGATAGATAATTTACAGTGGAAAATTAAGAAAAAAGTTTAGTTCATTAGGAAGTGCTATCACAAAACTAAAGGTGTTATAAGAAGCTATTTTTCCAGGACAGAATTACATCTTAAAAGTCTTGTCTATTTGTGCTTCTAAGAAAAGAATAATATCAACTAGAAAAATAATAATTTCACATAGTATCCGTGATAATTTTCCATAGCAAAATAAGCTTTTAGAGTAGAAAGCTATCTCATCAGTCCAAGGACATACAGTAATGATGTTATAGTTATGTTATATATATGGTAAAGTGAATACATTTACTAAAATATACTAATGATAAAGTGCTATACTCTTGAGTGTCTAATCAAAGGAACAATAAGTTATTTAAACAAAAACAATTTCTACGTCAGGAAAAAGGAAAACATGTACATGTACATTCATAAGAACAAATAAAGTACAAAAATTTCCCTTTCCAGTAAACTTCATATGTTGTAATGTCTTCGGTGGAGGTGTGAACTGATGGGTCAATATTTGGGCCTTACATCAAGAATGTTCCAATTAAAACATAGAGCAATAATGCCCAGAATCCCCCCCAAGAGTGGATGAGTATATAACGAAGTAGTTAGTTGACACTTTAAAGAAGATAAAACACATAGAACAGGTAAATTTCAAGAGTGGAAATTTGCTATATATGATCTGTATTATATAGAAGAATTTGGGAAAGAAAAAAGGAAAAGGGTGACAATGATTGGCAAGAAACGGTATACATCATCAGGGAGCTTCAATACACATTAAGTTTCCTTTCCTTCGACTAACATGTTCAAATGACTGTATTTCCACTGGGATTTCCACCCAATCCCACACCCTAAGCATGATCTTTGCTTGCTACGGGCTTATCCTTCAAGAGCAACTTTTTTCAAAGATGTTGCCTCATTGGTCACTTTCTCCAGCAAAGACATTCTCTGTCTTCCTTCACTTTGCTTTTCTGTCTTAGGACACTGAGGGTGTATAGATCTGGTAATTGTAGAAGCTTGTCTTTGTCTCAACTGATCCACAAAGAGAAAATGAAATACCCACCATCTGGACAAGTGACTTGACAGCATTTACTATCTAACCAGTCTGAAATCCAGGATATAAAGAATCTTGATTTTATCAATAATGAAACAACAGTAAAAATAATAGATAGCATTTATTGAGCATGTACTATGTGCCAGGTGTTACTACAGGTCTTTTATGTGTATATCACATGGAAATTCATAATAATATCAGAATTGGACATTTCCCTACTCACTTCTCCAAACTGCCCTGCTCCCTCTGAATGCCCATTGAAGAACCTCTTGATCTCTGTAACATTTTGCTAAACTACAATTTCTGTCCAATATTATTCTAATTTTAAGTTCCTTAATTAAATCAAGGTTGTCAAATTTTAAAAAAGGATTTTCACAAAGACTATCGCATTTACCAACTATTGCCATCCAGTTTGAACAGTGTCACCCTCTTTCAATGAATGGGAAAATGCAAACATTTTTTGCTGCTTTCTTTTTTTTTTTGAGACGGAGTTTCGCTCTTGTTACCCAGGCTGGAGTGCAATGGCGCGATCTCGGCTCACCGCAACCTCCGCCTCCTGGGTTCAGGCAATTCTCCTGCCTCAGCCTCCTGAGTAGCTGGGATTACAGGCATGCGCCACCATGCCCAGCTAATTTTTTGTATTTTTAGTAGAGACGGGGTTTCACCATGTTGACCAGGATGGTCTTGATCTCTTGACCTCGTGATCCACCCGCCTCGGCCTCCCAAAGTGCTGGGATTACAGGCGTGAGCCACCACGCCCGGCCTTGCTGCTTTCATATTAATATGAACAAACACTCATAGAAGCACTTATTCTACTAGATATTGTTCTGGGTGGTTTTCAGTATATTAACTCATTTAATCCCCATAAAAATAGCATTAACTCCATTTTATACATGAGAACTCTGTAACTTGCCCAAGGTCACATGGCTAGGTTGTAATGCAACTGGAATTTTTAAGGATTAGTTTGAATTTTAGTGTTATTTGCAATCATGAATTTCTAAGGTTACAATCTGTAATAAAAGGTCTTCAGCTTTTGCAAATCATGATTGCACTCTCATAATCAGTTTTAAGATTAGAGGTTTGATCTTCTAACACCATTTATCTGTCATCAACACAAAGACATGGTTAGGCCCTTCTTATCTTCTTCTCTGAATGGCTGGTCAATACAGAAAAGTGATTTCTAGAATTAGGTCTTTCAAATTGGACTATGCAATTAAATTCATTTACAGACATACTGTGCTAGTACTATATAAATAGTGCAATTATCTTAAGTGGAACTTGGTGGATCTTTTATGGTAATAAGATGATTTTCAGGCTTGTCATGGAGCAAAAGGCAAGGAAGTTAGCTGATCAAGATTGTTCTGAAGTGCCTTTTTAAAAAAAGCTTCATATAAAACATACAAATTTTGGATATATCTTATCCCAAGCCCCAACATTGACAAAAAACGTAACTGCCAATACACCAGATCCTTGTCCTAGAGAAGAATTCAGCATAAATGATGTCACCCATCCAACCTCACTTGAAGGCAACCAGAGCTGGGAGGCAGTCTGGTAGCAGGCCTCCAAGTAAGGACAGCATCAGAGCAGAGCTCTAGGGCGCTCAGTGCAGGGTTTTCCAAACTGCAGGTTGCAAACAAAATTGTGAAATCAATTTAGGAGGCCACAGACAGAATTTAAAAATTAAAATCCAGCACCATAGAAAATATGAGTCATCTATCACCATGGTAAGGGTGTTTTTTGACATATTTTTTTTTCTAGCTGTGTATGTGTTTACTGGGTCATGATATTGTAAAATGTATACTTCTAATGATGGATCTTGGTCAATAAAACTTTGAAAGCCATATATCTAAGGAGTACTAAGTACATACAATTTTCTAGTACTAAGCACTACATTTAATAAAACAGGATTCCTCGTAACCAGCAAGTGGAGTCAGTTGCACTAAGTGGATCTTAGATCATAAAATGAATCTTACATTTTAGCCAGTCCAACTAATCCCCCAAGATAAGAAGACCTTCTGTAAGATTCCCATAACAGAGCATCTAACTTCTGGAGCAAGCTAGTCTGTCCCTCGGCAAATCACCTCTAACTCTTAGAAGGTTCATGATGTCAAATCAAAATAGAATGTAAGGCTATTGCTTTTGCATGACAGCTCTTCAAAGTGTGTGTGTGTGTGTGTGTGTGTGTGTGTGTGTGTGTGTGTGTGACTGAATTTCATATAACTTTTTCTGAATAAACCTATAGGTCATTGTAGAAAATTTAGAAAATACTAAAAAGCATAAATAGGAAAATAAAAATTATACATAATCCATAATCCAGAGCTAATAATTGGAGCCACACTGATTCTATCCTCTTCTTCTTTTTTTTTTTTTTTTTCCGAGATGGAGTTTCGCTCTTATTACCCAGACTGGAGTGCAATGGCGTAATCTCGGCTCACCGCAACCTCTGCCTCCTGGGTTCAGGCAATTCTCCTGCCTCAGCCTCCTGAGTAGTTGGGATTACAGGCACGCGCCACCATGCCCAGCTAATTTTTTGTATTTTTAGTGGAGACGGGGTTTCACCATGTTGACCAGGATGGTCTCGATCTCTTGACCTCGTGATCCACTGGCCTCGGCCTCCCAAAGTGCTGGGATTACAGGGTTGAGCCACCGCACCCGGCCCTGATTCTACCTTCTTAACCTGCTTTCTACTTACTATGAAACCAATAGTTTCCTGTAATTAAATATTCTTCTACAACATGATTATAATGACCACATAACATTCCAGCATACAGCTATGCCATAACTTATTTTTAAAACCCCATTAGATAGCTGGATTATTTCTAGATTTTATCATAAATACAGTGATATGAACATCACTGCACATAAGTGATTACCTTATGATAATCCTCAGATTCAAATTACTAGACTGAGGATACACAAAAAATTGTGTATCTTGTAAATGTGACAGAAAATTGTAAAACTGTGCCCCAGAAAAACTGTGCCAATTCACTTTCTCTACTGAGACAAAGAAAGTGCATTTACCCATATCCTCGCCAGGTATAGGCATTAAGCTGTTTTTCATCTGCCAATTCAGAACAAAAAAAATGTCCATCCTGTTTTAACTAATAATGAGGTTAATTATTTCTGACATATCTATTGGCCATTTTTATTTCCTCTTCTGTGAATTTCCCACTCATGCCCTTCATTCAATTCTCTTTTGACATTTTGGAAATCACTGATTTAGCTCTTTAAATATTAGAGGAAGGCTGTCACGCCAAGTGGCACTATTATCTCCATTGATTTGAATATTAGGTGCCAGTCTCCCTTAAAGGCGATAAAGATGTATTACTAATGTAGTAACTATAAGCCACCATGTTTTTTTGTTTCTATAAAGATCACCTTGCTAAGCAACATATCACATGGGAATGATAGAAACTTTGTAAATATAGATGGAAAATGGCAATTTTTAAGCCTTGTTATTCTCTATGTAAAAATCGGAAGTTTTCCTTATACCAAGAAAATCAGTAATAGCACTAAAAACCTTTTGTTGATATTCTTTTCACTCCTTTCCTCTGACCACAAACAAAATGTGGTCAGAACCCGACACTGAACCTGAGACATTAGGAACGTACACTACTAAAACAATAACGCAGGCACAAAGAAGTGATACAAAAACTTGGCTTATCACTTCCTGTTAGTACTTTAATGGAAATGGAACCCCAAGTGCCTTCAGGAGCCTCAGAAACAGGTGCTCAAAGAGGAAAATTACACATTTCTAAAAGTAATCTTAAATTTCTAAAATTCTTCACCTAAGTGAGACATGGTCAACGCTAAAGTGCCCACACCCAGCTCAGAAAATGAGTCATCATCTTAATTTTCTTCCTCTCTTGCACAATCTGCCCTCCTCCACATCCAATCTAAATATTTATCTACTTTGACAATTCCTGCCCCCAGAGCCTCATTTCAGGCCTGACCCTATTTCCTGGACTACAGCAATAACTTTCCAGCTGCTCCTCTTGTTTCCTGAATTGCTCTCCTCCAATTCATCCTCTATACCTCCTCCAGACAGACGCCCCTATGATACAAATTCAGCGGCTCCCCATTGTTGAAGATCAAGTTTCCAAGCTCACTGGAGTAGCACAAAAGGCACTTTGGATCTACATAGACCTACATCTCTCCTGGCATTCGGGTCCTTAGAAAATGCTATGCCTGTGCGTGCCTCTGCATAGGCATATGTGGTTGCTTCTAAGAAAACTTCCTCTTGCCGTCAGTCTGCTGACTAATTCTGCAACCGGGAAGACTAAGCTGAAGGCTGACCTTCTCTTAGAAGTGTTCTCTGATCCAGTTTTTGTATCCCAGGCTGAATTCAGTGTCCTTCCTCGGTATTCTTATGACAGTCTGGGAAAGTTAACAAATGGATTTTCCTGTCTGTAGGATGCAAAATATAGCCTAGCACGCTGTGGGGCCTTCAGTTGCCCTAATCACACGCTATTATTAGTATAATGAACTCTCTTATCTGTTTCCCTTGATAAAAGACAAAGCTCCTTGAAGCGTCCTCATCATCTCACCTTATCTAGCAACCAACACCATCTGGCACATAGAGTGTACTCAATAAATGCTTGTTGGATGAATGAACTTTTAGTAAAAATAAATAAATAAATAAATGATATGCTTTCTAAAGTTGCTGCATTATTTTCTAAATATTTCTAAAGTTACTGTATATGAAACATTATTAGATATGCTTTCTAAAGTTACTGTATTATTTTCTAAATATTTCTAAAGTTACTGTATATAAAACATTATTAGATATGTTTTCTAAAGTTACTGTATTATTTTCATTATGGACAACTCAGATAAATCAGAAGGTAATTACTGGCATTACATAAGCTTTTCATTTTGCAAGAGGATTTCTATATCCTGGATTTCCAAAATTTCTAAAATACCAATTTCCTCTACTGCCCTTGAAATAACATTTGAAATTCATAGTCTCAGGGACACATCTGTTTTGTGTAAGATAAAATACATTTACACAGGCATTTAGTCATCAGTTACATTTTTAAATAGGAGATACCAAACACAGTAAGTGCTCAATAGATATCTTTTTAAGAGTCACAACTTAGGTTGTCTGTTTTAGTCACAATTGTCCTCTTTTTGGGGGGAGTATAGTCTCCATACATAGGAGTAGATTCAGTAGGTATGTCTAAAGGTAACCCTGGTCCCTGTCAGAGTAGAATGGTTTAAGAACGAGTGCCTAAACCAAGCTAAGCCAATAAGACTTTCCCTGGATTAGGATTAATGAACATTCATTCAAATTAACCCCTTTACAGTAGTGGGAGCTTCCAGAGGTAAAATGAGATGTGGGCTTGAGAGCTGCTGGTGGCCAGGTTCCCCAGCATGTGCAGAAATTGGTAAGAGTCATTTGTAGTCCAAAGAATGAGGCCAACATGGAGGAAGAAACAGAGATGAGAAGCGGTGAGAGTACCAGACCACAGTCCAGGAGATGACTAGAGTCCTGGTTACGCTCCGCAACTGGCCCCCAATCTCTCTGAGCCCTGCTGGAGCCCTGCGCTTCTGGCAGTCTGGTCACATGCAATCTTCTACTCCCTTCTCACAGTCACACGAGCCGGCTTAGAGTGGACTCCTATCATTTGCCAGCAAAAGAATCCTGATGGTATGAATCGATAAATGAACAACTGATCCACTCCCCACTAATTCTTTTAATCGATTCAACCAGATGGTTTGACATCATAAAGGCATGGGCTGATTTACATGAGATTTCTATTCAGAGAAAGAAGGAAGGTATTCATTTTGAAATACATTTCAAAAAAAAGTAAGTTTCAGGCAACATATTGCCAAGACAAATCTGAAGCATTTGATCACAGTATCATGCGTGCAAAATAGGTTCTGTTCCCTACAGAAGATTCTCACAAATTAACTGCAGGTTTAGAACCTCCAGGAACAGCAGTCTCTTTCTCAAGAGTTCTTTTTGCTTTGGAACTCCTCCATAACGCAAGAGAGGTGAGAGGACTTTCTAGAAGTCTAGAAGCAAATTTTCCTTATGAAGAGAACAAAATGTAATGGCAATATGGCCTGGCTTCAGCCAGAGTTGGAACTCAGGTTGGATTTGTGTCTGGACACAAAGGCTACTTGCTGACACCAGCCTTCCAGAGTGGCTTAATTTGATGGCAGCAGTTGATAGAGCTGCACCCCTCTGTGACGGCTGCTCTTCCAGGCTGCAATGGCAACCATAGAAGAGGCACAGCAGTGCAGATTGCCTGCCTCCTAGGAATCCAAGGTCTGGACAGCGCTGAACGGCCCCTCCACCTACGCTGGCTGTGGGTTCAGGATGAAGCCAGTGTGAAGACCCAGCCATCGCTGGTTGTTCTGTAACGGTGCTGCCTCGGGGTTCCCAGACCTTAATGCGCTGGTGGCTCTGGGGGTAGCTTAAACCTTGGGGCTCTGATTTCCCCTGGTGTGCAGTCTTCCCTCCCGGCTGCCCTGCTCCTCAGCAGACAACTGGTTCTGAGGAGTAGGGGGGCTTTTGTTCTGTGGCACTGCCCCATGTTTTCTGGTTTGCTTCTCTTTGGCTTGCTGTTTGGAAGCAGGTACATTGTCCCTTTGAACAGAGCTCTCTCTGGCCGGACCTGCTCCCTGATAGGCTGATGCGTCCTGACCGGTTGCTGGGTGTGGGGCTTGCTGTCCTGCTCTGGGGGTTGTGAAGCAATCTCTCTCCTCTGAGACCTGCCCTTTCAATGAACCTGTCCCTTTCTCCCTGGATGCTCCATAGGAGCTGAACTGCCCTGTAGCGACTCCGCAGGGGCCTTTTCCCCCTGGAGGGGTCTCCCACTGGGGGCTGGCCCTCCTGAGCTGGCTGATCGCGGCCAATGGGAGTTTTATTTTCTTTAGATCATCCTCCAAAAATCTCTCTTCCAAGATGGCCCTTGTCTGGACACATCTACGTTCTGCGCCAGGTCATTTGTGAGGAGGTTGGTATGGGCCCTTTTTCTGGAATTTGTTTTTTTCTCTTGTTGTAATTGGGGTCTTTAGGTGATGGCTCAGGATGGGGTGGCTCAGCAATTTCTGGTGTATGGACTTTGCTTCTCTGGTTGCTCTCAGGGTTCAAAGGAGGGCTGGGGTTGGGATGCTCAGGCACCACGGCGGGCCCTGGCTGACGGTGGGTTCTAGCTGTGAGGCTGGCTGGTGGCTCCCAGGCGGTGCCTCTTCCAGGGGTGCCAGTCCTCTAGCCGTCCCTTTCTGGATGGGGAGTTTTTTTCCCTAGCCCCTGTCTGCTGCAGGGGCCCCTGGTTATGGGTGAGGCCTGCATGTCTGGAATCCTCCTCCTGGAGAGTCACCTGCTTGGGGAGCTTTCCTGTCCTTTGCAGGCTTGGATCAAGCTAAATCCCCAAGTTCTGGGGCAGCTGTGGCTCTGGGAGAGGAGCAGGAAGGCGAGGAAGCCTCACTTTCTGAGCCGCCTCCTCCTGAGAGGGACTGGGAATGCTCCTTGCTCACGGCTGGGGGTACTGATCAGAGGGAGCTTCACCTCACTGACCTGGGCTTGCTGAGGACTGTGGACTTCCTGGGGGCTCCCAGGAGGAGCTGGTGGTTTTGAGTGGGGAGGGCTGATGGGAGGCAGTTTACTCATGTCTGCTTCCCGGGTTGGTGGAGGCCTGGGAGAGGGAGTCATGGTTTGATTGGAGGTTGCTCCTAAAGCCTCTTCCCTGCTGGGTGATAGGAGTTTGAGGGTGGGCCTCCTGCTCTGGAGGGGAGCCAGCACCTGAGGCTGTGGCAGCCGTGTAGGAGCCAGCCGGCTTCTAGGAAGCAAGGTCCCTGGGGCTTCCCTGGTCTGGGCCTGCTTGGTATCTGTTGCTAAGTCTTGGGGATGTGGCAATGCTGGGTAAGGGGTACTGACCCGGATGGCTTCCGGTCTGGAGGTTTCCTCCTTCAGAGCTTGCTGAGAATCTCTAGCAGGTTTCTGCACCGAGTCAGGGTGGGAAGAATCTTTTGGAGGATCACAGTGGGAACTGCTGGGTGGAAGTTTTGCTGACTCAGTTTCTGAGTCAGGGTGGGAAGAATCTTTTGGAGGATCACAGTGGGAACTGCTGGGTGGAAGTTTTGCTGACTCAGTTTCTTCGTCCTGACTTCTCTGAGGGCCGAGGGGAGTGGGGCCAGGTCGCTGTGGAGGTTCAGGCAGGGAAGGGCCAGTGGGGGTTACCTGGGTCTCCCCTGACTCCTCGTCCTGGCCTGGCTGAGGGCTGTGAGAGGCAGGAGGGGAAGGGTGTGCAGGAGGCGCCAGGGCAGGGGCGACTGGAGACTGCCCCACCTCAGTGGCTTTCGCAACAGGGACATCGGTCTCAGCGGCTATTTGTTTTGGAGGAAGATCTGATTGTCCGACATCCTCTTCCATTGGGTTTAGGGCCAAGTCCTGGGCCTGGTGAGAAAGCCCCAGGGCTGATGAGCTCAGGTGTTGAGGAAGCTCAGGATTGAGATGGCTGTCAGGAGAAAGCTCTTTTTGATGGGTTTCTCTATCATGAGCCAGCTGTTGGTTCTGGGCAGGAGTCAGGCTCTGATTTTCTAGGTCCTTGGCATGAATTTGCATTCCAGAGAGATGCTCTGTCATCTGGCCATCTGCTTGCAGTTTCGCCAAGCGCCTGGGAGATGGAACCAGGTGTGCTGGTACCCCAGAGAGAGTCTTCTTGCTAGAGGGAGCTCCTGCTTTAATATAAAAAGAAGTTAACTAAAAACAGAAGTTTTAACTTCTTTTAATTTCTAAGCAGTTCCTAACTGCTTAGAAATTGATGAGAAAAACATCTTTCCCCTGTTAGATGTACATAGGCCCTTGAAACAAATCAAATAAAACTGCTTAGAAATTAATGAGAAAAACATCTTTCCCCTATTAGATGTACAAAGGCCCTTGAAACGAATAAAATTATACTTATAGGAGAACATAACCTTCCCTTCTCCTTGGAGATACTAAGTGTCTATAATTCTCTTATTTAGTGGAACTTCAAACAGTTTAAGTCAACTGAAAACATAACCTTCAATGAATAAACATAAAAGGTTTATGTTTGGTTCTTATTCATAGAGCCAACATTTACATCCAGGTTTGTGGGTGGTGAGACATTTTGCAAGTGAATGAGATTTTACATTGTTACCACCTTAGAGATCAGTGTTGCTTTTGATGGTAGAAACTAGAGGACAGACATCCAAGCCAGATGAAGTCCCATTTGTTTGTTTCCCTGTTTAACGGCAGCCCCTTATATAAGCTGTGAGGTCTGTGAAGAGTTACGTCTGTTCGCCAATACCTAGCAAGGGGCAGGAACTGAGGAAATGAGTGATGAATGCAAGAAGGAAGGAAATAATCGGCTTGACAGAATCATAAGGCACCACGGCTCAGAGCAGGTGCTCCTGAGGACCCCCATCCAGGCTGCTATCCCCCCACTCAATCCCCTTGGACTTCCACGTCTACCTTGCCTTCAAAATGGCTCTCAGAGGCCACTAGCAGTGCCGGTATTGCAGAGAGGATCTGCTTTCTCCATTCACCATGACAGCAAGTTCTCAGTGACTGATCTCAGGGACAGTCTCACAGATGCCATCATCCAGCAGGCACTTGTTCAGTGAAGACTTATTCGCTTGATGGATTCTGGGGGCCCAAATACCATTTTACCCCAGTCTTAATGACACAGCTCTGAAATGTGGAGTGGTCAGAGGCGGCACATGAGTCTGGAACAGCCTTGAAGAAGCTAGTCTCAGCTCACTTTGGGGGAGATCTGATACTGAGACACTCCAACCGAAATCAGACCTCTGAGGTGACCCTGGAGTGATCCATCCCCAGGGGCAAACCAGGCTCCTGGCCCCTGCTCCCCTCCACTGACGCAGGATGAGCTTGCACTGCTGGATTCTCTCTGAGTCCCTAGTGTGAACATGCACCCTTTGCATCCTACCAAACCAGGTGTTCTCCAGGGAGATACAGGGACAGGTGGGGGCAAAGAAAGGCTTCCCTCTTGGTGTGGTTTCTGAGGGGATGTCCTGTTCATCATTTGGATCTCCCTAGTTTATAAATTACAAACTGAAACACTAGCTAGGACAAGAAACAAGGTTACATTGGAAAATTAAACTAGGAAAATATTGAGAACAGGCCAATTATAGAGAAAATAAAGTAGATTAGAGGTTACCAGGAGTTGAGGGGAGTTATTGTTTAATGGGTATAGAGTGTCTGTTTGGGGTAATGACAAATTTTGGAAATAAGTAGTGGTAATGGTTATACAACATTGTGGATGTAATTGGTGCCATTGAAATATACCCTTAAAATGGTTAAAATGCCAAATTTTATGTTACAGTATGTGTTTTTGCCAAAATATAAAAGTAATTTTAAAAGATGTCAAAATATAAGAACAATGAAATCCTGTACTTAAGATTCTTTTGCTCTTTAATCTCTCCTGGTTTTCCATAATATATAGAAAGACATAGGGATTTGTTCCCCACTTTCACAATTTAGCAATTGATGTAACTTGGCAAATACCAAGCCTTTTATTAAAGATAAAGGGAAACTTTATGGACCAGTAAACCTCTCAGTTCTCCTCTGTTTGACTCCTCATAACCATCATCATTTCTTTCTATCACTAGTCAGAATAATGATTTGCAAATATAATTTCATTTTATGATCTACATAGCAAGAATTCAGGGTGATAGTTGGTCTGACTTTCTAAAAGCTTTGCTGGAAGCACTGACTATCCCAGAAGTAGGTTGTGTAGAGACAAATGGAAGGAAATCCATCCCTTAATACTGAGTTGTGAATATAGGCCTTTTTCCTTATTTTACAGAAACCATTTGGTTGACTGGTGCTTTTTAAGTCTTCATGTATTAGAAATCAATGTCATCCACATTACAATAGGAAAATACGATAATTCTATACCTAAATTGATACATATTTTAAATGAGGGGTATATCTGAATATTTCAAGGGTTTATAATCACTGTATACCGTAAGTTACTATTTTATACATGCATTAAGTGAAAAATTCAATTAATCCATCCATTGGTGAGGGTTTATATTTCTGGGCCCAGGATTACAGATGCTGTACTCAGAACTGATAAACCTTGGGCTCACTTTTATCACTCTGTTCCACTCTCATTGTTAAGAGTAGAAACTCAGTTTGTATTCTTGGTTACAAATTAGCAATGTAAAATTACAAACGATAAAGCTATGCCTTACTACTTCAGCTACCTGGGAATAATTTTCAGTTTGCATTGATATAGGATTACCACTTCAAGAGAAACTATGCTGCTGGACATAAGCGATGTACTGACGCCTAATCCCATTGGGAAAAACCTCAGTCTGGACAGCCGGATTCTAACAGTGCACCATGAATTATATATAGGTTGTTATTTTAAGAAATGGTAGTGCAAAATTGTTTCTCAAGTTAATGGTTATCGGTTAGATTTAGAATAGAAAACCAAGGCTTCATATTTCCAGTGCAGTTTTCTAATTGCTCAAAGTTGTCTTTCATAGAATCGTAAATATTTTTTATTTCAATTTCTTCCCTTTGACAGCTCAATTCTTTTTTAAAAAATTCATTATACTAAAACTATTGGCTTTTTTTTTTATTTCTAGAGGTCCCCTGTGTGTGAATGATGTGTTATACACATATACCTAAATTATAGAACTTAAAATAAGTGACTCAGCTCAGAGCAGGAGCAACAAGGTGAAGCACCAGCTGGGTACATGACGGTGACTCTGCTGGGGCTCTGGGACCCTTCCTGGGGAGTGCTGACACTCGTTTTAAGGTAATTATGGTTGGCCCCACTCTCTTGCACTGAACCTTCAAACATCTATTCTTGGCACTAAATTCACAGCCCTGAGACTCAGAAAGAACATCGGCTCTACTTGTCCCACTGGAGACACCATTAAAAGTGTATTAGTGAGGACCATGTTCATTAGAACTCTTTAGATACTCACTGGAATAATGTCTGGCCTTTACAATGTTACTTTATGTGCAAGTTTATTCTTAAACCCACAAATGAAAAATGTAACTTCCTCAGAAAATTAATTGCCTAGACAAGATAAAGTGGTTGGCTTCAGAAAACACATTGTTTTCCAAAATATTAAACATGTCAGAAAAACAAAGGGCCATTGAGGCTAGTGATTTGATTCATTAATTACATATCTGCCTATCTACTTTTTAAAGTTGAAATTCTATTAGTCAATAACTAGATGGCTCAGTTTCAGTTATGAAATATATATGAACGTGATCACATTTTTACAAATTCAGTAATTCACACTTTTCATTAAATCAGCCAGGCCTAACCTCATTAGTCCAAATAAATAAAATTTTATTATACCAGTTAAAATGAAAGTCTATGTTTTTTTTTAAATTTTTATTATTTTTTTTGAGACAGAGTTTCCCTCTTGTTACCCAGGCTGGAGTGCAATGGTGCAATCTCAGCTCACCGCAACCTCCGCCTCCTGGGTTCAAGCAATTCTCCTGCCTCCCAAGTAGCTGGGACTACAGGTGTGTGCCACCATGCCCAGCTAATTTGTTTGTATTTTCAGTAGAGACAGGGTTTCACCATGTTGACCAGTATGGTCTCGATCTCTTGACCTCGTGATCCACCCGCCTCGGCCTCCCAAAGTGCTGGTATTATAGGCATGAGCCACTGCGCCCGGCCAAGTCTATTTTTCTACACACACATTATCTGGTCTGGTAATTTGCCAGATGGCAACTGCACCCAATAGCCAGTGTTCCTGATAGTTGTAGAATAAGAAAAGATACAGAGATGGAATCTCACAGGCTGCTAAGGCAAAGTCTTGTTCAGAGACAACCTTAGATTGAAAAATACATGTTTCTCAGTTACTCAGAGCTGGTCAGGCTCAGGGGACTGATTCCTGTTTATCCAAACCCACAAGAGGCTGATTTAAAAGCCAGTATACCAATTAATTTACAATGGAGACGAGCCCGACTTGGGGATCAGGGTAGGGGGTAAAATGTAGGGCACAGCCCCAACAGGGGCAGGTCCACCCAAGGGGACCAAATTAAAGATCAGAAGGTTGCTTGATTAGCAAAGAATTAAGGCAAAGGGAGCCAGGTTCCCTCAGGAGAAACTTCTACTGAGCTGCAGAAGCCTCGTTAGGTATACTACACAACTCTTCTCCATAGAGATGGCTTTCTAAAGAACTGGGACCCAGTGCAGAGACTCCAAGCAGGGCTGGATAAATATACCTGACATGCTCCTAATCTAATGTCCCCCAGACCACACTTTGTAGACTGAGCACGGTCCTCACCAATCCTCCATTCCTTTCTATTTTCAGACAGGTCATACCCTAGTCACTTCATCTCCTACAAGACATATGTAGAAGGAAATTCTCAGCCATTATCTTTTGATTTTTACCAGTCTCACACTGACCTCATTCCAAAATACCAGGGGCCTTCAACCTGGAAGAAGTGTGCAAAATTTAAAAACAGTAATGGTTTGAACTCTGGCAAAATCACGACCTGCCCTGTCTCAGTCTGCCAGGATGCAGCCAAGTAAACAAAATCCTATTTGGGCAAAGAGTCACAACCGCTAAAACACAAAGCTGAACATACCTGCAAAGCAGCCAGGGTCTCGAGTTAACATTTCACAATACACAGTGTGTGAATAGGGTTCAGTCCATCAAGGGAAACTTTTAAAACGGACTATAGTGGTAAAATACACATAACAAAAATTGACTACCTTAACCATTGTCAAGTACACAGTTCAGTGGCATGAAGTATATTTACACTGTGCCACCATCATTACCATCCGTCTCCAGAACTCTTTGCTTTTTTTTTTGAGACAGAGTCTTGTTCTGTAGCCAGATGCCAGGCTGGAGTGCAGTGGCGCAATCTTGGCTCACTGCAATCTCCGCCTCCTGGGTTCAAGCAACTCTCCTGCCCGAGCAGCTGGGACTATGGGCGTGCACCACCATGCCCAGCTAATTTTTGTATTTTTTAGTAGAGACGGAGTTTCACCATATTGGCCAGGATGGTCTCGATCTCTTGACCTCGTGATCCACCCACCTCAGCCTCCCAAAGTGCTGGGATTACAGGAATGAGCCACCGTGCCCAACCTCCAGAACTCTTTTCGTCTTCTCAAACTGAAAATTTAAGGGGTAGAGTTCTCAGCTCTGTACCCATTAAACCACTCCCACTCCCTAGCCTCTGGCAACTACCATTCTACTTTCTGTCTCTATGAACCTGACCACTCTAGATACCTTGTATAAGTGGAATCATACAGTAGCTATCCTTTTGTGACTGGCTCATTTCATTCAGCACAGTGTCTTCAAGCTTCATCCATGTGTAGCACATGCCAGAATTTCCTTCCTTTTTTTTTTTTTTTGAGACGGAGTTTCGCTCTTGTTACCCAGGCTGGAGTGCAATGGAGCGATCTCGGCTCACTGCAACCTCCGCCTCCTGGGTTCAGGCAATTCTCCTGCCTCCACCTCCTGAGTAGCTGGGATTACAGGCATGCGCCACCATGCCCAGCTAGTTTTTTATATTTTTAGTAGAGACGGGGTTTCACCAAGTTGATCAGGATGGTTTTGATCTCTTGACCTCGTGATCCACTGGCCTCGGCCTCCCAAAGTGCTGGGATTACAGGTGTGAGCCACCGCACCCAGCCCATTTCCTTCCTTTTTTAAGGTCAAATGGAACTCTGTTTTATGAGTTGCTTCCACATTTTGGCTACTGTGAATAGTGCTGCTAAAAACATGGGTGTGCAGCTCTCCTTTTGAGACCCTGGCTTCGATTCTTTTGGAGGTATATCAGAAGTGGGATTGCTAGATGAGAGGCCAGTTCTATTGTTAATTTTTCGAGGAATCTCCATACTGTTTTCATAGGAGCAATGCCATTTTACATTCCCACCAACAGTGCACAAGGGTTCCGATTTCTCCAAATCCTTGCCAACACCTGTTATTTTCTGTTTTTTGTCTTGTTTTTATAGCAGCTACCCTAACAGTTTTGGGGTGGATTCAAGGGAGCCTTTTAAATGCATCTCAAAATTCATGTACCAAAATTCTAATTAAGGCTTTAGAATTCCTGGATTCCTGAGTTGTGAACCATGAGGCTAACCCTTCCTCCTCCAAGGGTTATCTATTACCTCCTCCAAGGCACTGCCCAGCCTGTTGCTGAAGGGTAGTCCCCGGTGGTCCATTATGGTCATGGAGATAAGCAGAGTTACAGGTCCAGAAGGCTGACTCACGCTGCTTGTTTTGGGGACAATTGCCCCAGAAGAAGTACAGGAATAAAAGAGAAGCAGCTTCAGCCCAAGTGATGAGTACCCAAATGGCAACTCAGATTTGTTTTCCTTTCCATGAAAAAAAAGTCCTGGCATAAAGGGGAGGGGACGGTACCTGCAATTGCAGCCAAACCCTTGGCAGGTTCCTCAGTCAACCCCAGGTATTCTCTGATGAGCTGACTCAGTTTTTGGTAAGCAACATCCAGATCATCTGCAGCAAAGAGAGTACACTTTAAAACAACAGGATCGGATCCAATACAGTTGATGTTTAACTATTGGTGGAAACGATTTGTTTACTACATTTAATTTTATAAATATCATGGCAGGCAGAATTCTAAGATGACCCGAAGGGCACATCATCCTTGTATAATCAATCTCCTCCCTTTAAGTGTGGGCAGAACCTATGGAGGGAATGAGATACCACTCCCATGACTGTGTGACATACAGCAAAAGGCATTTTTTGCAGATGTAGTTAAGGTTATTAATGGATTGACTTTGGAATAATCAAAAGGGAGATTATCCAGGCAGGCCCATCCTAATCACATGAGCCCCATGAAAGGAAAGTTTTCTCCAGCTGTTGGCAGAAAAAGAAGTCAGAGACTCAGAGCATGGGGAGGGTTCAATGTGCTGGTGCTGACTTGAGAATGGTGGGGCCACGTGGATGAGACCCAAGAACAACCTCCAGAAACTGAGGATAATTCTCGGCAGACAGCCAACAGGGAAATTGGGACCTCCGTTCTACAACCAAAAGAAATGCCATCCTGCCAACAAGAATGAGCTTTGGAGGTTTATCCCCAGAGCCTTCAGATGAGCCCTCAGCTTCCTGATACCCTCAGCGGAGAATCCAGCTATCATATACCAGACTTCTAATCTCTAAAACGGTGAATTAAATAAATGGGTGTTGTTTTAAGACACTAAGTGTGATAATTTCTATGCAGGAATAGAAAACAAATTCAATTGTGTAATACATTAACACGTTTCAGAAACAAAAACTATTAATAAGTTGAATCATATGTAATTGCTGTTTTCATAGATTAAAATAGTTGAGTACGTACAATTTCATATGGTTCAACTAACGTCCTCTGTCCACCTAGTTCATCTGGTTTCCCTTTCCCCAAGAGGTAATCAGTGTTATTAGTTTCTTGAGGATTCTGCCAAAGATTTTTTTATGTAGTACAAGAAAATACAATTACATATTTTTTATATAAACGATGGCATACTATATTATAAACCTGTCTTTTTTAGTAACTGTTTGACTTGAAGATATTTCCTTATCTGTTCACAGAGAGTTTTCTCATTCTTTTTATGACTGTGTAATATAGCACACTTTAAAAATATAAAGAAATTTGCCAGGCGCAGTGGCTCATGCCTGTAATCTCAGCACTTTCGGAGGCTGAGGCAGGCAGATTGCTTGAGGTCAGGAGTTTGAGACCAGCCTGGCCAACATGGCAAAACCCCATCTCTATTAAAAATACAAAAATTAGCTGGGCATGATGGCAGGCACCTGTAATCTCAGCTATTCGGGAGGCTGAGGCAGATGAATTGCTTGAACCTGGGAGGTGGAGGAGGAGGTTGCAGTGAGCTGAGATCACATAGCTGCACTCCAGCCTGGACAACAGAGTGAGATCCTCTCTCTTAAAAAAACATAATAATCATAATCATGTGCTGTTCACCATCCATGCAGTAGATAAAGAGCATTAGGTACATGTAGCAGGACGGTAAACTGAATATTTAAATATTTATTGAAATACGAAATTCTCTCATGAACTACTGCTTCAAATTAAATGGCCATTTCTAAGCTAATTTCTGAAAATGTTTGCTTTACATGTACGTTTTTATGGTTATAATATTTTGAGTAGTTGGATTTTCAAACTATATGTAGATTATAATAAAATTACCTGAGTTTCATATGCCTTTCTAGAAATTTAAATGTATATTTCACATTATGTATAATTTAACTTTGTTCTCACAATGGCCCCTAAAAAATGAACTTAGTTTAGGCTCATTTTACACAAAACCTTATTAGCTACAATCTTAAGGAATAATTGAGACGATGCTCTCATTAAAACAGTGGAAGGTTAGATCTCTTGGATTCTTACCCATTTTTGCAGCTCTTTGTGATGCACTGTTACAAAAAAAATATCTTTAACCCAAGACTTTTATTCCCACAAAACAAACTTCTAACTTGGTAGCCTTACATTTCAAAAATAAAACTTTGCTGAAAATTACCAACCTGCATTGATTACTGCATCAAAATATCCTGGAAATTTCTGATTAATTTTAATGTAAATGTCCACTCTGGAGACAGAAAATTCAATTTCTGCACGACTGAATAATCCCTTTCTCCGTAAATATCCCTCATATTTTTCCTTGTTCATGGGCACCACCAGGATATAACGAGGCTCAAAATAGGAATATTTCAAACTTCTTACACCCTGTGCATTAAAAGGAAGATAATAAATTGGAAACAGACACATGATTTAGAAATCATTTTGGAGCCATCTGACCACATGGGTATAAGTAGTATTATTAATATATTGAATAATTTATTTCATCTGTATAGTTAGCTACTATTTTTCTATAAATATCTCAAGATTGGATTGCTTATCTCTCTTCATCAAGTTTGAAATTGTCATTGGAAATATTAGAATTCACTCCACCTAGTTTTTCCTTTAATTAATCATTCTAATGAATATGACTGTTAGAAAATTGCTAGATATAAAATAGGTACATCCAGAGCAATACTGCAACTTTATTACAGAAAGGTAATTTCAATTCTATATTTCAAAAGGCTTCTGTGGAGCACCAGGAGGTAGCCATCTTACCAAGGAGAAAAGGCTCCAGGAACCAGTTCAACACTATAAGGATCAGGCTTTATCTACACCCTTTTCTATAAACAGAGGCCATGCTTTAAAAAGAAAAAGGAGAATTTAGTGAGGAAATAACAGAAAGTAAAGCTTCAGTGGCTGTTTCACTCACAATATCTGTGCAATGCCTTGTATTGTAACTTAGTTACTTAGTGGTTCACATGACTTGTCCCCATACTAATTATAAATGGAACATCTTTCATTTATTTTGTGCCTGGCAATGTGCCGCCTGTGCATCACAGCCCCTCCCCAACTTCAAATATGTATATAAATTATCGCATGCACCCAAAATATGCATCGCAATTATGTATCAGTAAAAAATTGATACACACACACACACACACACACCACTCACACAAACTATACACACATTGATTGGTTGAATGAAAACCACTTACTTCTATTTCCATATGAATACAGCTTGCCAAACCATCTCTTGCAATACCTTCCACCGTGTCCCTACTTAATCCATACTTGTGATTACCGTAACTAAATGTTAAAATGAATTTTCCCTGGAATTCGAGAAGAACAAAGGTTTTCGTGTAACAGCAGCCATCATGGAATCTAACTACAACTAAAATCATTTGATGTCATATTTTACATAATTTCAAAAACCTTACAAATTTTAGCAACTGTATAAGGGTAAATGAAACTTAATTTCAAACTGTGACAGAAAATGTATTCAGAATTCTCAGCTAACAAAAAAAAAAATCAGGTTTTTTAGAAATAACCTGCTGACCAAATGCTGAGAAGCATTAAGGCGCTGCAGCGTATGGTACAATAGACTATTTTGTTTACTTATCCGCTTCCTGCCAAACCCGCACCAAAACCTTCATTACTGAGAGAGAAAAACTAATGGTCTGCCCTTTGCCACTGCCATTTCAGCTATGCCAGCACACCAGGCAGCCCAGAAAAGCCTTCCGTTTCTAAAAGCCTTGCATTCCAAGATAAGCCATGAATTACGGATAATTCCTGGAGGCCATGAATTACAGGGACATCCTAAAAGCTTTGAAAAAGCAGGCCCATCCTGTTTTCCTCGTAAAGATAGCTTACTATTGAAACTGCCCCAAATGTTATTCAACAGAACCAGTGTCTGCCCTATAGCCATTTGAACTATAAATGATGCCTCTGTCTGTATTCTGGAAGCTCAGTTCTTTCAAAAACTGTATTCCCTTGCAAAAAAAGAAAAGAAAAAAGGCAAGTAAAAGCACATCTTTCAAAATTGTCTATGGCTTTTTCTTTGGCAATACTATATTCATTAAACCACTAGGTCAAATCTAAACTGGGTAACTGATGACAGCAGAAGGAATAAACATGTGGATGATCTTGGCAAGTAGGACTTCTCATATATGTGATTTTGAAATGAACAATGACGTGAAAACTTCCAGGGCTGCAGTGAATCCCATCAAATGGCGGTGGCAGCGTTAAGAACAGCAGCAGCTGGGTCTCTTGCTACCCGGCGTCTTGGCCCCAGACCTTCTGGAGATGTGAGGGTAGAGGGATGGGCTGTCTGTCAGGGGAGAGAGGTCGGAGGCAATAAGGCATGGGGTGTCTTTTGAGGTTGGGGGGCAATGTGTCTGCTGCAGGTGATGAGGAAAATCCACATCCCCCATAATCAAAAGAAGTTTGTGTTATGTATTCCAAAAGTTAAAAACTCAAAAATAAATATTCTTACTCTTTTACTCCTTCAATGTTATACTTTCTTTGTTCTTTGGAACAAATACTGTGACTCCTTTTCTTTGTGTGTGTGTATGTGTGTGTGTGTGTGTGTGTGTATGTGTAAAACCTATATAGATACATATCTGGCTCTCTTTTCGGATAGACACTTTATCTTGTTTTTTTGCATGTGCTGGTTGGTGTTATGTGTTAACTTGGAAGATGTTTGGGGTGAGAATAACATTTAAATTGGTGAACTCTGAGGAAGCAGATGGCCACGCATAATGTGGGTGGGCTTTATCCAATCAGTTGAAGGCCTCAGTATAACAAAAAGATCAGCCTTTGGATTTCATCTGTGCCACTGAAACCTCCATTGCAAAATTATGACTGAGACAATGAAAGAGATCTAATCTAATGGACTCCATCTTGCTTCTAACCTCCCTTGTTCATTCTTGAGCACAAGTTGAATTGACTGTGGGAGGAACTGAGTTTATACAGTTTAAAACAAAGACGATAACAGCCCTTTCCCAAAACAAACTTCCTTCTTGCCAGGGGACTAGACTGCCTTTGTAGGACTAAAAAATTAGTGAGAAGATTAGAAATTATGGTTTAGGAGTCGTGTAGCTGGAGGCTACCAAGATTCTGACTCTCCCTAAACTGCTCCTAAGATCAGTGCTTGAGATATTTTGCAGACCCTGCACTTGATGGATCAGCTGGCATCACCCAGATCAATAAACTGGCTCATCTGATCTTGTGGTCCCTACTCAGGAATTGACTCAGCACAAGACAACTTTGACCCCTTATGATTTCACCTCTGATCTGACCAATCAGCACTCCTGGCTCATTTCCTTCCCCCTACCAAGTTGACCTTAAAAACTCTGATCCCCAAATGCTCGGGGAGACTGATTTGAGTAATAATAAAACTCCAGTATCCTGTCCAGCTGGCTCTGTATGAATCATTCTTTCTCCATCGCAATTCCCGTCTTGATAAATCAGCTGTCTAGGCAGCAGGCAAGGTGAATTCATTGGGATCTCCTGGCTGCCTGGCTCACACTGCAGATTTGGATTTGCCAGTCCCCATAACCCATGTATGCCAATTCCTTCTACTAAATCTCTTTCTTTTAAGAGATGGGGCCTTGTTGTGTTACACAGACTGGAGTGCAGTTGCATCATAACTCACCGCAGCCTTGACCTCCTGGGCTCAAGCAATCCTCCTGCCTCAGCCTCCTGAGTTGCTGGGACTACAGGCATGCACCCCTATACAAGGCTACTTTTTTATTTTTTGAAGAGATAGGGTCTTCTCATTATGTTGCCCAGGCTGGTCTCAAACTCCAAGGTTCAAGTGATCCCCCCACCTCAGCCTCTCAAAGTGCTGGGATTACATGTGTGAGCCTAACCCTAAGTCTCTATCTATCATCTATCTATCTATCTATCTATCTATCTATCTATCTATCTATCCATCCATCCATCCTATTGATTCTGTTCTCTGGAGAATCCTAACAATCTTTGACTCACTCTGTTTTCAAAATGTATACTTGAATTCCTTTTCAGATATAAACTGTAAGTTTATTTATTTATATGTACAAGGACCTTCCACTGTGGATCCGAAAAAAAATGCGTTTTCTAGAAAGATGTAGAGCCGCAGAGTTGGGAGGAATCTTGCATAGCACATAGGTATAAAGGAGACCTCATTACAGGTTTGTTAAGATTTGGGATTAAATGGTTTCCCTCCACCCCATTCTGACTGGTGATGTTACTTTCATTTCTTACTGCATGTGGATTTCCTAATAAATAGCAATAGTCGTACTCTAAAAACCTCATGGTCTGTGGTTTTATTTCTACAGGAGAGGGAGAGCTTCTGTGGGGACTGTGTATGTGTCCATAAAAAGATATGTCTCATATCTGTGGGCATGTTAGGGGGATGGCTGCGCATTGCGGGGGAAGTGTCTGATGGGAAGGAGGAGACACCTGTGTGTGGGAGGGTATGCAGGTCTATGTGTTGTACCCGTGAGGGCAGGAAGGTGTGACTGTCCATAGTAAGGATGTGCCAAGGTTGTCCATCAATGGGGCTGCTGTGATGGGGGTGGTGGGCAGGCTCTCTGGGTGGCTGCTGTGTGGAGGGGGTTCTGTGTACAGAAGGCTGAGTGCCTGTGGGTGATTGGCAAAGCTGAAAATGTCATGAGTTTGTCATTTCTAGGTTTTTGTCTCTCTTCATGAAACGGTCTCGAGCTTACATTAAAGGAAAAGAGATCAGAGGCAAAATTCAAGTTCAAGAAAATTACACTATCCTGAAGTATATGTGTGTGTTATCAGAAGCAGTGAAAGTAAGTACTTCTCAAACACAGGAGAACTTTTGGAGTGGTAGTAAAACCTCTAAGACTAAATATAGCATAGAAGTGTAGTGACTTTTTAGACTAGGAATTGAACCAGACTAACGTGATTACAGATCTGATAAGGTATGAAACATCAGAGAGCAGATGGGGTACTGAGAACAGATGAACTGAAGTGAAAAAAAATGCCTCATATTCTAACAAGAGAAAGTAACATTAATTTTGGGTACTAGTTGTTTTTCATCCTACAGAGTCCTAAGAGTATACTTCTTACTAATATCAAGATAACTTCTCAAATCTCTATTGAGGCTTTTAGAAACATAAAGTCCCAGAGGACTCCTAATCAATTAAACTGAACTGCCAAAATATAGCTCTAAGAGAGAAAATTAGGAAGAATTTCCTAGACGTTCTTTTGACAAGGTTAGAGGGAAAATTGCCCAGGGATTACAGGATTTTCTCACTTGTATGTCTCCATGAACACAAGAGAAGTCCGCAAAACATGCACCATGTATAGAGTTGGCCATTCAAATTAAACTCATAGAAACTGCAAAGCCTATGCTGAAAAGTTCCATGATTATCTACAATGAGGTATAAGCCAGGTCCATTATTTTCGGGTGGGGACAGAGGAAGGAAGAAGGAAAAAGAAGGGGAAAGAGGGAAGGGGATATGTAGCTATAAGGGCATCATCAGTTGGATGGCAATCTTTCAAAAGCAGAAACACAGATTAGTCGCTCATCTGATAGTTTGTGGGCTTCAGAAAAGTAGAGAAAGTCATGTAGGATTTACTTGGTGATAGAAACAACAAAGATATAAACAAAAATAAGGTCCATGGTGAAGTAAAAACAAAAGGTTTACAGATTTCATTGGTCATGATGAAAATACGAGATACTCTTTCAGTTTAACTGAAGTCATGGGCAGATATGTATTTACATTAGCATATACTTTCAACAGATAAAACATGCGAGGATTACGAGGGTTCCCTTTCTATGTGAAGGCCAAGAAGGAGCAAATAAGTTGTTTAAAAAAAAATTGAATTCAAAGACAAGAGTGTTGTGAGTTATTATCAATAACTAGATTGTGAGGTTTTCAGTAGAAAACAAACAAATGAAAAAACCCCAAATTTAAATTGAACGAGATTGCTCTGAGTGCCTGTGAAATGGACTAATGCAGGGTTAATTACCTTGACCTTGTAAAAACATAGTCCCCAAAGAAGTTAGGGATCTTCTCCCATCTTCTAGCAAGAGCAGCCATCTGCATTTGTGAACTGCTTGGCCTCCAGGACTGAGGACTTCTCAAACAGGAACATGACCATGGAAGCCAACTACATGGGACACAGCATATTGAAATGGTGCTTTGGGTTGTAACAATTAGAAAGCACCAGGGATAACACGCAGAAAGAGTACTCTCTGGACAGAATACCCACATCTCCAGATATACTTAATTTACAAGCTTTGTGTACCATCAGTTCTGTAAGAATTGTTTATCTTGAGTAAATCTGATAACAGTAGCAGCAGCTGATAAGCACAGATCACAAGAATTTTTCATACTGCTTTGGTTCTATTTCCTTAAAATGCCTACTCATTCATTTTTATTGAAAATGTACAGTCTTTTCCCTAAGACCATAAGATAAAGAAGCTTGTGAAGAATGATGCATTAAGCACTTTAAGAAAACAATAACCCAATAAGAACTCACTTCTCATAATAAGCACAAAATTTAATTCTTCCTTTTTTATTTTATAGCTATTTCCTAATATTTTTGCCAGAGGACATATATTTCTTGTGCAAGAAAAAGGCAAAATTCTTACCATGTTTACCATATCATCAAACACTTCTTGAGAGATAAAATGATAATCAACTCGATCCCCTTCTCCAAAGTATGGTGGTCTTGTGGTGTGACAGGCCCTGAAATCACACAACAGATCACCTAGTCTCTTTCTAACTTGAAATTCAAAATGGAAAAGGTTTCAGTATAACGTATGTTTTAAAAAAATGAAGTTAATCCACAAATCATAAATCATAAAGTAACATAATTGTGAGAACATGGTGGTGTTGAAGTTCTAGGCTATATTCAGTTGCTATCATCTATAAGGATTACAGAAAATTTGGATTATCCGTACCAAGTTTTTACTCATTATTATTTATCACCTTCTGAACCACTTCCTCTGCCATCATGTAATAATACTTTAGGAAGTATAACAATACTTACCATGCAACTATTTTACACCCACCTGCTTTCATGCTTTATCTACGAGCATTTTCCACAGGCTGTCTTTCTCTCCTTCCATCTGGCTGGCCTACTTGGTTTTCAGGACTCAGTTTAAATGTCAACCCTCCAAAAATCCTTTTCTGATCGTTTACGGCTGGATTATTCATCTCTTTATATTTCCGCAGCCTCAGTGTCCATGCCAATTGCATTCCAATTATATGTTCAGGCCCATGCCCTCCACCACATGAAGCCAGATCTAACTCATGTACCCTGTGCTTGGTCCATATCAACATTGTACATAAATCTCCTGTGGCAATCCATGGTGCCAACGCTGAATGGAATTCTCAACTCAACCAAAGAGGCCTTTTCTCCTCACTGTCTGAAATAGCCTCCCCACCCCACCATACCCCTCAACTACTCTGTATCACCAGAACTGCTTTCTTTTATATATTTACCTGGGGTTTTTTTCCCTATCTTCACCAGAAGAACATATGAATCATAAAGGGGAGGACCATGTCTTATTCATTTTATTCACCATTGCCTTTCCAATGTCTGCCACATAGCAGGCTTTTGATAAATTTTTGTAAAATAAATGAAAAAATGAAACATGAGAAGTGGATAACAGGTGCTAAGAACTCCACTTCATAGATGATTACAAAAGTTACTCCTTTAAGGTCACATAGCAGGCCAGTATTGGTCCTACATCAAGAATACGGTGGTCTCAACCACCAGGATTCTTGAATTCATATCATTCTGCCTTCCAATGTTAAGTTCAGGAAATGCAAACTGATTTTTAGATTATCCTGTAGTTTTAAAATAGGAGATGAGAGCCAGGCACAATAGCTTATTCCTGCAATCCCTGCACTTTGGGAGGCCAAGGTAGGAGGATGGCTTGAGCCCTGGAGTTCAAGACTAGCCTGGGCAACATAGTGAGATCCTGTCTCTACAAAAACATTTAAAAGCCAGGTGTGGTGGCATGTGCCTGCGGTCTTGGCTACTCAGGAGGTTGAGGTGTGAGGCTCACTTAAGCCCAGGAGTTTGAGGCTGCAGCAAGCTATAACTGCCTCGCTGCGTTCCAGCCAAGGCAACAGAGCAAGACCCTGTTTCAATAAGTAAATAATAAAATAAGAGATGAGGATAGTTAGACACTTGACATGCTATTTCATTTATTCCTTGTAAAAACCACAAGCTAGGTAGTATTTCTACTTTTTATTTTACAGATAATGAAACTGAGACATGGCAATTAAGGAATGTTACTAAGTAGCAATGCCAAGATGACTCAAAAGTCAATTCTTGTTAATGTCATACTAACTCAGGGAGTAAAGTTGCAACCTCAAAAGGCTCTTCATTGCAAAGACAAATAAATGTTTACAATTCATACCACTGCTCCCTTTCCATTATACTCAAGAATTAACTGTACTAATAAATTTTATGGTCTTAACATCATATTTAAATTACACACTCAGGAAAGAGAGTACATTCTAAGAGAAGACTGTCAAAACACCGTGGCATTTGTTTTGTTGTTTGAATACACTGGCATTTCTTCACGTGCCTTAGCAGAGACCTGACACCCTCTGTCTATTGGTGTCCTTGACAGCCAGGGAAGATAAATCAATAGCTTGGCACCCTTGCAGCAAACCCTTAGCACAGCCTTTACACACTATGCTGAACTTTCATTTCTCAACAAAGGAATTGAGTGGCAAGAATTTCTTCAGAATTTCTCAAAGAAAGACAAAACAAAGAAGCAATCTGAAGCTTCTAGGTAGGTAAATAAAATGGCTCCACTGATGTGCAGAATGCTGATGACAGGACCTGCAGACTTTCTATTAAGGAGGACCTGAGATGACCTGTGGTTTTTTGAACTTGTCATTCAATTTTCACATATGCAAATGTTCACCATGTTATATGCTGCCAAAATATGAACATATCAAAAAGAAAATGCTTCATAGTGAAGGCAACACTTCATTAAACTTACTTAGGAAAAATGATACCAAAGTCTAGACAAAGAAATTTGCTTGAGCCAGGACTTTCAAAATCCTTTTTTTTCCCTTGTCTAAATCTTTCCACATGTTTATTATTTACTAATTTATTTACTAGTTAATTTATGGTTTGTAATGGGAGCCATAATCCCAGGGAGTTTCACTTACCAGAGAAAAGGACTGAGTTGGAGATGAACCCCAGACTCCAACTCTGGTCCTAAAAGTCTAAGGGTGCCAATTCATGGCCAGATGAGGCTGCTACAAAACCAAGTTCACAGAAAGGAGGTGATCAAGAGGAAAAGGAATTGGAAGGCCAGGCCAAATAATGGAATCCCAAAACTTCCAGGGAAATGCAACAGGAAGAAAAGATATCTAAGAAGAGCTAGCAGGTGGATAAGGAAGTAGAATTTTTTTCAGTGTCATTCACAAGCACCCAGACTTAGAATCTTAATTCTGAACCAGATTGCCTCAGGAAATAATGAACTTGTTACTGCAAATATTTAAGCAGAGGCTTGGCTCTCAGCACATCTGGAGTCAAGCACATGACAGCACATCACATTGTTAGTAAGTGAGCTCTATCAATGGATAGCCACAAAAGCCCAGGTATTCCTAGAGGAATTCAGTAGGTAAATGAAATTGGTCTGAACACCCAATGCAGATATAGGTCAATAGCTTGCTGGATACAATTTAAGTGATCTTCAATGCAAAAGATTCCAGCACATACTGTATGTAAGTATCAAACTCCACGAAGTCACTACTCTGCCACTTTTCAGTAACTACACACTAGTTTCTGACTCATGCGATCATCACCCGTCACTACCTTCTAACTGGTCTCCTTGTCTCCAGACTTCCTTCCCTAAGCCCTTTCCCAAACTGCCAACAGGGTGCGCTTTCTAAAATGCAAATGCAACCATGCCATTCCCCTGTTTAGACATCCTTTATGACCAGATCCCTGTCTATCCTCCCAGCCTGATCTTCTGCCATCTCCCTTGATATTTCAAGCTCAGCCATATGATGTCCTCTCTGCCTAGAATACACCCCCAACTCAAGCCCCACATCCCAATTCTCTTTGATTTCTATCTCAGAGGCTGTTTACGTCCCTCATCATAGCATCCATCCAACTATCTTATTAGCATTTACCTGTTTAAGTCCCATACTACTTTGTAAGCTGTCAAGAGGAGAAGAATCATGCCTGTTCATTCAGTTTCATCACCAGCATATAGTATATGCACAGTGCTCAATAAATACTTAATGAATAAATGAACCATTCTACAAATTTATCACATGTGTATAAACAGACCCATTAGCTGAGACTGCATTTAGGTTGCTGTAGCTAATACCATCTCATGTAGCTAAATGGCTGTGATCTCATGTTTTACTGTATTATAATGCTAAAAATAAAATATATTTAGTAGTCAACATTATGAGAAGCTTATGAAAATCGAGATGTCTATAAAATAAATATCTAAGAAAGAATAAAGTTTTCCTTTCAGGACCATTCAGATCACTTTCATGGCCTTAAATCCAGAAGATAAACAGGCATGATGGCATTGTTTTGTGTTGTCCTCATTACCCGGCACTTTTCCAGGAAGTCACTGATTTGTGGGGTATTACAGCTGGAAATCAACAGAGAGACTTTGGAGAAAGTAAATGTGTATCTCTAGGTCACCCATAACTAATACAGGTAAAGAAAGAGTATTCAACATATTTCTAAAACCAAGAACAAATAGTAAAATCAAAACCTAACTACAGCAAAATCTCTCAGCCACACCAATATTTGTTATGTGACTGAGTTATGTTTTCAATATTTATATATCTGGATATGCAACTTAGCACATGGAAATTTCATTAAATGTCTTGACCTTGGATCAATGCAATTTAGAAAGGAAATAAAATACCAGGAGAAAATTAAATGAGAAGGGAAAGAAATGATTCAAGGAAATGGTGGAGAAAGTGACTTGTAAATACTTTTATGTTTCACAATGAGACTGTGTTCATGCCTTTTTTCTTTTCACATAATTAAAAATCAATAAAACTTTTGCCCTTGACAATGTGCTTTGGTTTTATTTTTTAGTTTTAACCAGAAAGTTGCTGCATATAATGGTAGCACTATCTTACTCTCTCAATGGATAAAATAACTAGCTATCTAATATCGTTTTTCATCCAATGCATAGTCTTTTATCCAGGCCTTGATAGAATTCTTAGAATAATTTGCCATTGAGCAAACCTTGAACTCTGCCTTCATAAGGATGACAGTGAACGGTTGGATGGTGCTTCTGAACCTGTGAGGGAGGTGGATGAATGAGTTTGTAGTTGCGAGGGAGGCAGTTAGGAGTGTCTTTCTACTCACCCCTAATTCCAGCCAGAAGAGAAGAGTAGCAGTGGTTGCAGTAATAGTACAGGAGCATGAAGCTAATTTTAGGATTCTGTTTTGCCATCTTGTACCTCCACCTAAATTTCACATAGCACTAATTATCTAAGGTCTGATCCCCCATTAGATTCCAAATTTCATTAAGGCAAAGACCTCACCAGTCTTGTTCCTGCTGTACCCTAAGGGACTAGCACAAGAGGGGAATTCAATAAATATTTATTGAAAGAATGAACAAATAGATGAATCCATTCATCTCTGCATAGCTCCATGAGTGGAGGTTGGGAAAAATCACCCATGCTTCTATTACAGTCATTGTCATAATCCCTTATACACGATACCATTAATTCAGCCAATCATTTACTCAATTAGTCAGTTACTTAACAAATATTTATCACACACATATTAAGTGCCTGGCCATATACTGGGCATTGAGAACTCAGTGGTGAACAAGACTGACAGGAGTCCTACCCTCAATGGGCTACAGACAATCAGGGAAAGTAGATATTACATCAATTAATCACAAGCATGATGGATAAGCATTTTAACTACAAAAGATTTAATTAAAATGAGTAATTGGGAGGCCGCACCAGGTAAGAATGTAAGGGCAGACTGGCTCAGAATCTTGATGATGAGTCAATAACCACCTCTAAAAACATATCCAACAAAGCATGCCTTGGCAACAGCATAAAACCGATAAATAAACAAGACTGGGCTACCAACCATTTACAACATAACTGGTACCAGAGATGTGAAAGGACCTGGAGAAAACCTTGGCTCCTCAAAGGTTACTTTGGTTTGCTAAAAAGTTCCAAATTTACGCATTAGCAAAATAGCACACACCCTGTTGCATTAATTAGACCTTCCATTCATTGTGTTCAGCTTATCTTTAAAAACAGGTTCAGTACACCCACAGAAACATAATGCACTCTATATTTTCATTCGAACATTAACTTTTAATTTACTTTTGTTACTTCAGGGTGTTTAAAATATATTAATCAATAAATTATTCCATAGTATTTGTGGCCTAGAGTTGTTCAAATAAAGGATGTAATTTTAAATATCTAAATAAATGGGGCCTGCTTGAAATAGTATTTACATTGCTTAAACATGTATAGCTTCAGGGAGGGAACTTTTTTTGTAATAGCATTAGGGAAAAATTTGCACTTATTTTTCTCGCCGTCCTATATATCTTTGGAGTCACATCCTCAGCTCAGTGACAGGCACCACTAATCTAAAAGTAATTTCTTCACCATACATAAAAAATACAAGAGGAAACCAGTTTAAGAGATGACAGATAGTTCTAAATTTGATTCACTAAAACCTCTAAAAAAAAAAATCCCTTTTTTTTTTTTTTTTTGAAACAGTCTTGCTCTGTTGCCCAGGCTGAAGTGCACTGGCAAAACCTTGGATTCTCACATCTCAGCCTCCTGAGCAGCTGGGATTACAAGAATGTGTCAACACACCCAGCTAATTTTTATATTTTTAGTAGAGATGGGGTTTTGCCTTGTTGGCCAGAATGGTCTCGAACTCCTGGCTTTAAGTGATCCACCTGCCTCAGCCTCCCAAAGTTCTGGGATTAGAGGCATGAGCCACTGCACTTGGCCTCAAAAAATCTTTAAACTCAGTTGGAGTTTCGTGGGTTTTTTGATGGTTCTAGTTTTTCAGACATGTTCCTCTATTTTAACTGTGTCACTAAGACATGACTAAGCAAACTGTTTGCTCCAGAAATCTTGAACTGTATTGAATGCTAACCTGAAGGGAAGACAAAGAAAAAACATGCTGCTTCTTCTCCTTCTTTCCTCCTAAATTACGCCTCAAAATAGGAAGACCTGTTGGAGGCAAAGAAGCTCAAGTGCTGTTGGCATGTGTTCCGAGCTCAGACAGGAGAGGTTGTCACTGAACACAGATCTGCCCATCACACATCACAACATGGTGATTCATGCTGTCACACTGCAAGGCAACGGGAGAAGCCTGCCTTCAAATGCCATCATGCTTAATTAAAAAGATGTTTATTTTCAAATCCTGGAGGGTGATTTGGACTGAGACTGAATTAAGTTAAGCATTTGAAAAATTAAAGTTAAAAATACACAGTGTATATCACAGTATGATATATGGCAAAGAAGCTGATAAGCCTTTTATGGAAATGATGGGTTTATGAGCCATGCTGGTTCGCTTACTTATTTAAGGGGGAGTAGGGAAGTCACTGCTGCGTGTTTACTGTCTGCTTCACAAAAGAAAAACTACTTTGTTTCTTCCTCTATATGGTAAGTTCTTCTATTGCTAGAATTATACTCTAGCAATCGTCTTTACCATATCATAACATGGCAGAAGAATCAAGATTCCATCATTCCAGGACCAGGTGATCACATTGATCCAATTTTGTCAATATTTTACCTTCCAGGATTAACGCTCACATGGTGCTTCGTCCTTACCAAAAGTTAATATCTGTTGAACGTTCTACAATGTTGACTTTGCTACAGTATTTAAGTGGAATATTTGCTACAATATTTAAGTGTAACTTAAATATTGAGTTGTTTTGTATATTTCTGAACTTGCTTAAAATTAATAGCCAACATTAGCAACATCTGAGATTTTACTAGAAATGAACTATTGAAGGCCAGGCGCAGTGGCTCACGCCTGTAATCCCAGCACTTTGAGGACAAGGCAGGAGGATCACAAGGTCAGGAGTTCAAGACCAGCCTGGCCAACATAGTGAAACCCCATCTCTACTAAAAATACAAAAATTACTGGGCATGGTGGTACACGCCTGTAGTCCCAGCTACTCGGGAGGCTGAGGCAGCAGAATCTCTTGAACCCTGGAAGCGGGGGTTGCAGTTGCAGTGAGCCGAGATTGCACCACTGCACTCAAGCCTGGGCAGCAGAGCAAGACTCCATCTCGAAAGAAAGAAAAGAAAAGAAAGAAAGAAAGAAAGAAAGAAAGAAAGAAAGAAAGAAAGAAAGAAAGAAAGAAAGAAAGAAGGAAGGAAGGAAGGAAGGAAGGAAGGAAGGAAGGAAGGAAGGAAGGAAGGGAAAGAAAGAAAGGAAAGAAAGGAAAGAAAGGAAAGAAAGGAAAGAAAGAAGAAAGAAAGAAAGAAAGAAAGAAAGAAGGAAATGAACTATTGATATGTGCAGTAATTCATACGAATTTCAAACTTACCCATATCGGAAGTAAGTGCTAAACTGTCTGCAGAGGCGATGGGCAAGTTCTCGTTTCCCACAAGCTTCAGGACCAGCTAATATGAGCATGGGATAAGGGGCATCCAGGCTGGGAAGAGTGCTGCAACACAGGACCAGGGTCAATTGCCCTACTGCAGTCAAAGAGACAGCACATTAACTACATCTGTGAGTACATCCATCATAAATCCGGCTAAATGAGCACTTGCTATATAAGACACTGCATAGAAGAATAGTTGTACTTTCCAGAAACAGATTGATTATATGCCACAAATAATATTCAAAGCATAGATATCACATAAGGTAAAATATGAACTTATGTAATTTACTTTAACTTGACTTTTAAAGGAAAAATATAATATATATTGGTTCTTGATTGCTAGAGTGAAATATTCCTCCCCAAAACTGATCAATGAAAGAAATCAGGCTATTAAAGCTAAATAAGACTGTAAAGTTAAGATAAATGTTTATAACTACTGAATTAGAATGCAGGTATGTAAAGCCAACTTAATGGTAACAGCTAAAATTTACCTGAGCAATTACTATGTGCCAGTAAGTATTCCAGGAGTCATACATGTATTATCTCATTTAATTGTCACAAGAAGCTAATGAAGATGTTTCTGTCATTTCCCCTTTTAACTCATGAAGAAACTGACGTACAAGGAGATAAGGAGGTTAATTAACTTGCTCAAAGTGATAGCTAGTAAGGGAGAGCTGATACACAAATGTCAACTTGGCTGCCAAGCCTGAAGCCTGGACTAAAGAATAAATGGATTGTTAATAAAAATCTCTCACAACACACTGAATAGACGTGTGTAGACTCTACTCATGGCACAAATTGTAGCAATCTAAAATAAAATAGAAAATTAAAAAAAAAATCACATGGCTGAGATGTGGATTCTGTGAAGATGAAGGTATAGATTCTGAGAAGAGTCTGTGGCAACAGCATAGTTTTTCAATCTAAGAGCCACGAACCCACAAAACCTGTGTGGTACTGGAGTCAATGCAGGAGGAAGAAGAGGGAAGCAATGGGGCAGCATCTGACACACCTGAGAGCAAGTGAACCCCAAAACAGCCACTGGGTACCTGCCAAGAGCAGGCAGGCTGACACCATGCATACACAAAAGCCTAAATGTGAATGTTCACGACAGCTCTAATTTTAATCACCCAAAACTGGAATCAATCCAGATGTCTTTCAACAGGTGAATAGTTCAAGCAATTGTGATGCATCCATGCCATGGGATACTACAGGGCAATAAGAAAGAATGAACTATTGATTCATGCAACAACTTGAATGGATTTCCAGGGAATGAGTGTGAGTGGAAAACCGAAAGCCAATCCCAAAAGGCTATATACTGTATTCTATTTATATTACATGCTTGAAATGACAGCATTATAGATAGAGACCGGGACAGATGAGTGGTTTCCAGGGGTTAGGGAAGATGAGAGGGAGGGAGGTGCTGTGGCTATTGAAGGGTGTTACAAGGTATCCTTTTGATGAAACTGCTCTACGTCTTAACTATAGTGGTGCTAAGATGAATCTACACACATGATAAAATTGCACAGAAGTCAATAGAGCTAAAGACAAAAGAGTACATGCAAAACTGGTGAAATCTGATAAGATTGGTGAATTTCCTAGTCAATTTCCTGGTTTTAATGTTCTGCCATAATTAGGTAAGATATCACCATTGAGGAAAACTGGGTGACTGCTATATGGAATTTCTCTATATTATTTCTTACAACTTCATGTGAATCTACAATTACCTCAAAATATATATATATATACATATATATATATACACATATATATACATATATATATACACATATATATATATTTAAATAACTAAGAAAAAGAAAGAGACAAATATTGAAAATAAGCAAAAGAGAGCTTCTTCCTGAAGAAGAAAACCAAAGCAAAGGAACAGAAAACAGACTATACTTCAAAAAACCTTCCCTGAAATTAAAAAAAGAAAAACAAACAAACAAAAAACGTACACATTGAAAGGGCCCACATTATACCTGAACTATCAGCCCAGAACTAATACCAGGACACAGTCTAATAAAATTAACTGGGCTTTAAAGTAAAAGAAAAAAATTCCAATTAGAAAAGCATATTACTTATAAGGAAAAGAAAATTAAATTATCATCGGATTTTGACAATGTTTTCTTCCAAAACACAATGGAGTAACATTTTTAATATATTCAAGGAAAAAGGTGTGAGTCATGAACTTTATATTTAGCAAAAATGACTTTCAAGTATAAAGGGCACACATTATTATAACATGTAATAGTTTAGAGGATACTGATCCCATATTCCTTCCTAAGGAATCTACTAGAAAACAATCTTCATACAACCAAAGTGACTCAAGGGGCATCAATATAATGACTGGTAGTGAGCAATAACTATATAGTTAGCCTCAGACTTAAGACTAAATGAGAGCCAGAAGGAGAAATACACTGTGTGATGGCTTCATGTTTTGACAATAGTCAAAACTATAGTCAACTATATTTAGTACAACACTATTTTCTAAATGGGGTGGTTGACACTTATATGAAATACATCGAATAGGCAAATTCATAGAGACAAAAGTAGATTAGAGCTTATCAGAGGCTGGAGCAGAGCAGAACCAGGAGTTATTGCTTAATGGGTACAGAGTTTCCGTTTGAGGTAATGGAAATGTTTTGGAAGTAGACGGTAGAGATGGTTAGATAACATTATGAATGTACTTAATGCCACTGACCTGTCCACTTAAAAATTGTTGAAGTGGCAAACCTTGTAACACATATTTTAGCACAATAAAAAATGGGCAACTTGTAGGCAAAAAATATTTTTAATGTTTTCAGGAATCATTTTGGTGGTAGTATTAATATTAGTATTCTGATGCCATTGTGGTCCAATCTAGGATTTTTTTAAATGAGTAATTATGGGATTTGGTAATTTCATCTTCCTCTGTGTCCCTTAGAACCAGTGTTCTTGGTGTGGGGAATAAAGGAAATACACATACAGTAGGGAGGAGGTTGAGTAAAAGCTTAACTGTAGTTTTGGAATCATATTGTAAATATCAAGAATTCAGGAGGTATTTAATCCATCTATCTATAGAAAGACACAGATAGGTCTGTCCAAATAGAGATAGATATAGATAGAACAGATATAGATAGGTGCACATGGGATGGATGGATGTATGGATGGACAGATGAATTGATGGAAAGACTGGTATTCTTAGCTCTTTCCACTAAAAGGCCTAGAAATAATGACCAACCTGGTAGCAATGACTATCTTAACCCCCAGATTGGGATTTAGAAATACTATTTTTTACTAAAACTAGGGCTTCTTACAGAAACGGCTGATTCCAGATTTGGGACAGGACATGTACAAGATGCGTCTGGAGAACTTTGTCATGTCAGAAGGAAGGAAGCTATCAATGACTACCAGAGTCAAGGTTTGGCCATGTCATTTTAATACTGTATCCTCACCCCAATTATACCAGGAGAGGGGACAGTGATTCCCTAGTAATACAGCATACAAGTCCCAAAGCCAAGAGTCGGGGTTCCTCTCCTGGATCCTGACTTCTGGTGCTGACAGAGAGCTGTGTACTGGCCTAGACAGAGTGGGAAGGGCACTGCAGGCCTGCACACTAGCTACTGGTACTGTGTCCATGAGTTCCCACACTGAATGCTACTCCGCCCTGGAACATCTGGGCCTACTTGGCCTTTGTTCTTGTTTGCCAACAGCCAGAAATGATCAAGATATATGTGTTTATCAAACACTGCTGCAAATTTCTTTGATATATGTTTTTATTTAAATGTATCCTAAAGCATGTAACAACTAGCAATACCATAAACTAGAAAAGAAATATAATGAGGACTTAAATGGCCCTCTCTTGAAGCAAATACACTTTTCCAGATGTATGTAAATAAATGATAATTCATTTTACCTAGAGGGTCACCATAAACATGTAAAACTGTCAATGTCTACATTATTAAATTATATGTAAAAATCATGTCCTGGCTTGCAAAATGAAACATTTTGCTCTCTGTGGGAAACAGTCATGTGAAGTACAGGAAGGAGGAAATACCACATGAAGAAGGGAATTTATATATCCAAGAGATTTTACAAGTATTTTTTAAATGCCTTTGGGTATTGATAGAATTTCTGCATTATACTTATAGCATAAATGGCCATCTGCTCCAACAGATTGTTTTAGAAAGAAATGGAGAAAGCAGGGTAAATCTGTCTTTGAATTTAGAGGTGAGAGACTCTGTTCATGTGTTTGATCAAGCTGGGCAACTCCTTCCTGCTGAGTTTATCATAGCTTAGTGCAAAGACTGTTTCACATTTCCCTTAGGCTAGTTGGGCTTCTTCTAAGGGACTCCTTAATAATGGGAATTCATGGGACAGTCTCTGGCAAAGGTATTTAGCATTCACTCACAGCTGAGGGGAAATTTACAATGGATATAAATTATCACAATTTTCTGTTAAAGTTAAGGTCTATGTTTCTATTCTAAGACCGAAAAATCGACTTCCTTTTTTTTTTTTAGATTTCACTGTTGTATAGCACAGGCTGGCCACCACACAAGAGGCCAGACAAACCAGTGAGGCTGAATCAACTCATCACCATGCTTGGGAAAAAACCAACAAGCAAGCAACACATTCAAGTACATAATATTAATAATACGCCATAACAGAGACAGTATCATCTATCGAATGAAGACTTGGCCCCTTCCCTCAGAGAAGGGGAAAAAGCAGCATTTATCGGAAATGAAGGAGTCACAAAGTAGAGGGCTAGGGAAAATGATGAGGCTGTCTTTTGCTTGATCACCCTGAATTCTGGCCTGTGGATTCCTAATAAATACCTGTCAAAGATCCTCTGCGGCTGCATCACGCTGTTGACAACATGGGTCAGGTGGTCTCGGGCTGCAACCACTTCAGGGGGAGGATCATATTTATTCACTGCTGAAACCTTTCCCAGAATGAGAGATGTAAAAGGGAAAGAAAAAAGTTTGTTTCTAAAAAGAAGACAAGGCCTGGATTTTTCCTTACTGAAATGTTCTATACATGCAACCAGGTACACAAAATAATTTAACACATGATTACTTTTAACATAGTAAACATTCCAACTTCTAGTATGTGAAAAAGGAATAAAACTTCTAGCTGTAGATTACAGGTTTTTATGCATGGGGAATGTTTTCCTCATACCGTCTCACCAAGAACAATTCCCATAATCTCAAATGCTTCCTCCTCATTTAGCGTAACTTTCTTCATTCAAGGATATGGGCCTTTTCTTCATAATGTGCAGTTTTCCATTTCCTTGTCTTTTCCATCCTTCTAAATTACATTATCCTCAACTACCATATATTTACTTAATACATGGTTTTACATTTTATTCCTTTTGCAAAATGTTAAAGGAAAAGAGAAATCTAATAAGTACCTTTGAGCGTGAGAATAATGACAGACCGGCATCTGTAACTATTTTTAACCAAGATTTCAGAAAGGCATCTATGAGATGGAATACTTGCTCTCTACATATTTATACCTGCTTTCATTCCCATCTCAAATTTGCATCCAGTGTAAGGAATCCCTCATTAGTAGAGATTTTGGCTGTCACCAACTACTAACGTGACACAAAGCAGAGTGACTGTGGGTATGAAAAGCAGGGAGGCAGGTGCTAGCATTCAAAGTCTGGTTACTCTGGAATTTTGTGACTACATGAATCATTATTTTAAAGAGCAGAATTAATGATTTAAAATATCAGAGTAGCGATTTATTTGAGTACCTTTCAATTATATGGTAGAGTGACATTATAATACATTTTATTGTTAAACGAATTTTTCAGGTAACACAGAATCATATACCTTCCAAATATGACAGTTTTTCAAAGAGACAGTCTGCCATAAAGCTGTGACCTATATATATGTTGCTTCTGTTCCCCACAGCCAACCTTTTCACTGTTCTAACAGCAAGTCAGCAGGCCTTTCACTGCATTTGTGTTGATACTCACCTTTGCAAAGGGTTAAACAAACAGATTCTAAGGCAAGGAAACATTCCCTAAATGAATTAATGTACATACTGTTATGTGTCTTATTTATTGATTACATTGCTTCCATGGCACGAGCTTTTGAGCACATTTACCCATAAACACGAGAAATGACATGATTACATACCTTTTCTTCCACTTTAATCTTCTTCTGATCTAATTCTGTTAATCGCAGAAGCACAAAAATTACGAAGAACCAATATTCAGACTTTTCCTATTTAAAATATCAAGAGGACTGTTCAGTTGCCTTCCTGTTCCCAAATCAACAAGCACCAGCACTGCGTTTTTCATGAGCTTGGGCCTCTCACCTGCTACCTTAGCATTCCCACGTATACCCTCACAGGGCTATGCATTTCACACTTACCAGTCCCCTTACATTAACTCAATGCCGACTAGGCCTTGTAAAATATAAAGTCTTCCAGTGTACACTCTTGTGAATCTCCCTGTGAGATTAGAGATTAGCAGGACAGGTGAATTATCCTCATTTCTTTTTTAAAAATTTAATTTTAAGTTCTGGGATACATGTGCAGGACGTGCAGGCTTCTTACATAGATAAAGGTGTGCCACGGTGGTTTGCTGCATCTGTCAACCCATCACCTAGGTATTAAGCCCTGCATGCATTAGCTATTTTACCTGATGCTCTACCTCCTCCCACCACTCCCCGGACAGGCTCCAGTGAGTGATGTTCCCCTTCCGGTGTCCACGTGTTCTCATTGTTCAGCTCCCACTTAAAAGTGAGAACATGCAGTGCTTGGTTTTCTGTTCCTCTGTTAGGTTGCTAAGGATAGTGGCTTCCAGATTATCCTTATTTCTAAAGGGAAAAGCTACTAAGCCTCAGAGAGGTAAAGCATCTCATCTAAGATTCGTGGCCAGTGACTCAAACCCTGTCTTCTAACTCCAACAAGTTTCAATTTTGCAAATAATAAAACTTCAATGTTTTATATTATTTTGTTATTATTTATATGCAATATTTTGTATTAATTTGCATTGTTCATTATGAATTTGTTTGTAATAATAAAATAATATTCGTTTATAAAACAAACTGCTTATTACTCCCTCCCATCAGGATTACCTGCCTTTTAGAAATAGAATTAAAGTTTTTGTAGTAGAAACTATGTCCCTTTGACACGAAAGACACTAGATATTAGTGGATGATCCAGTATCTATCAGGTTGGTGCAAAAGTAATTGCAATTTTTGCCACTAAAAGAAAACAAAAACCACAATTACTTTTGCACCAACCCAATAGATGAGCCTGTATATCAGGTGAATGTACAAAGCTTAGGTGATTTACTTCTACCCATAAATGTTGGGGGGGATGTTTTGCATATAAATCAGCTAACGTGTCAAAGGGCTTGTGATGCTTATTCATGCATCGGCACAAATACTCTTCAGATCTGAAACTGAGGTGTGCTGACCACTTTACGCCCTGCCTCTTATTTTTCCAGAAATAAAATGCTTTTAAATTGCCCCCCCCCACTATTCCTGCACCAAGGGCAGTTTTTAATTCATAAACCTTTCTTCTATTTTTTGTTTTTCACCTATCTAGACATGTTCATCAAGATACACACAAAAAGAAAGTGACTAAGAGCTACAGGCCAAGTCAAGAGCCGGTGGAAACTAAGTGAAGGATACAGGTAGGAGAAGGGAATGAAGGACAAATGGACAAGGAGAGAGGGAAGGAGGCCAGGAGAAAGCATCTATCAATGGAGAGAGGGACTTGAAACAGTCCCTGATCCTTAAATCCCAGAGGTAAAGAACTAGGAAATGTGTTCGTTTGTTCTATAATTATTTTACAATTACACCAATTTCACGGCTCTATCCAGGTAAATTTGGTATGTAATCTTAGATTTTCTTTCCCGTTATAAAACAGGAACCACATTCTGTCTCCACCTCTGGTGTCTCACATTGTCTAACGTGAAAGAACATTGTTCTGCAATTTCATTATCTCCTTTCCGTAACCTTTAGTACCACCAGGGATGAGTCACAAACGACCAGCAGAGTAAGTAAGTGATATTCAACTGCAGGCTTTCCTTTACTGTCAGTCATGTGAAACCTTGTTATAAATCAGCTAACGTCTGATTTATAACGTCTGATCAGCTTGTTAGTCATGAAAGAAGATCTTATGTCTTAAAAAAAAAAAAAAGTCACGGCTGGGCACAGTGACTCACACCTACAATCCCAGCACTTTGGGAAGCCGAGGTGAATGGAGCACTGAGGTTGGGAGTTTGAGACCAGCATGACTAACATGGAGACACCCTATCTCTACTAAAAATACAAAAAATTAGCAGGGCGTGGTGACGCTTGCCTGTAATCCCAGCTATTTGGGAGGCTGAGGCAGGAGAGTCACTTGAACCTGGGAGGTGGAGGTTGTGGTGAGCCGAGATGGTGACATTGCACTCCAGCATGGGCAAAAGAGCCAAACTCCGTCTCAAAAAAAAAAAAAGGCAACAAAAAAAGTCCCTTTAGGTACTACTAAACCCTTCCTTAGAGAGAAGGAAGATAGACAAACTTCATTCACATTCCTGATATTCTTTTGTCAAAAGTACTTCTTGAAGAATTCCTAGATAGTTACTCTCGACTCTCCCCATTTTCTTCTCTCTCTCCCTCCTTTGATATAAATAAAGTCTCACCTGAATTGGATTGTTTAGAAGATTGAGAACTCGAAGGATAGGTAGATTTTCAATGTATTCTATTTCTCTCAGCTCAGCAATCTGCTCAAAGAAAAAACTTATCAACGGACTAAATGTGCAAAGGCAATAGAAAACATAATACAATAGGAGCCAGTTTGGGTCTTATCAACTCAACTTATTTTAAAAATTGCTCTGTCTAGCTTTTGAATGAGAATTCCACAGAACAAGAGAATTGCTGCCCCTTCAATAAACGTGTGTGAACACAGCAACGTGTTTTCTTCTCTAGCTAGGGAATAGTCAGTTTCATCCTCTTTTCCATGCTCACTTTAAGGCAGAAATAAAACAGCATTCAAAATCAGAAAAACAGTACAAAAATGCACCCTAGGATGACCTGGTTACCCATCCCACCCTGTTCCTAACCCTCCAGCCCCCCGACTTCCTTTCCCAATCCTTCTTCTGCCACCCTGGTCATTTGTGACTGGTTAAAGGCTTCTTCCTGCATATACACATATGGCTTTATCACTTTTTCTATGATAATTATTTCAAGGAAAGGTAAAAAACTGAAAATTCTGTGACATATTTCTTGGTGGGTGGGTACTGTTCACCTTGAACTCCTTAGCTAACTTGCACATGTATGTTTTATACACTTTTCTGTATAGGTTGTGTTTCACAATTTTAAAAAGTAGGGAAACAAAAAGGAAAAACACAAAAAAGATGGCTTAAAAGTTCCTTAATTTGACCAGGAATAGAACTTGGGTTGCAACAGGCCTGAATTCTCCACTAAATTAAAGACTAATAGGTTTGTTTAAATGTTCTGTAATCAGCATAATTACAATTTAATCTCAAGTGTAGATACTGAAATTTAGCAAAAGTTAATAATCGCTTTTTCATTTCTATTTTTCTCCAAATCATTTCTGCATGCACTGGAAAGCACTCCAACAGCAGGGTCACCGTTCACTCCTGAGTTATCCAACCACGACACACAGCTAAACTGCAAACTAGAATCAAAGCCAAGCAGAAGACAAACATGCACCCTGTTCAAAGGATGCCATTTTCAAAGATATAACATGAAAGGTGAAGGCCAGAGTTGCAACTACAACCTGCACACATTAATCTTGTTAGAGTAACATTATACTATTATACACATCTTTTTCTATAAGATGACTAAACTGCCCGTCAGCCTGCCATGTGGATTATCTTTTTTAAAAAAGGGATCAACTGTTTTCTATTGTATTATTCAGGAAAATGGAAAAGTAAACTTGTGAACAATGTATTAATTTCCCTCTAGCATACCACTCACTCATGTTCTTGCTTTTTTTTTTTTTTTTTTTTGAGATGGGGTCTCCCTCTGTCACCCATGCTGGAGTGCGGTGGTACAATCATGGCTTACTGAAGCCTCAACCACATTAACTCAAGGAATCTTCCTACTTCAGCCCCCTACCCAGAGTATCTGGGACCACAAATGTGCACTGCCAAGCCCAACTAATTTTGTAGTTTTTCTAGACAGGGTTTTGCCATGTTGCTCAGGCTGTTCTTGAACTCCTGGGCTCCACCCACTTCGACTTCCCACTCCCAAGTGCTAGGATTACAGGCGTGAGCCACCACACTTGGCCTGCCCTTGCTTTCAGACCTAACACTGATGTTAAGAGGAGATGTGTTCCTACACTCATCATGTCTCACCAACAAGTTGTGGCCACATGCACTTGCACACGTTGCTGGTGAGAGTGGAAGCTGGTGCATTCTTTCTCTAGGGCAACGTGATGTGTTTCATATGTTTCATAAGTTATGAACCAGCTCTCCCACCTTAAGAAGCTTATACTAAAGAGAATATCTTGTATCTATTTTTTGGAAAAAAAATTAGATACAAGAACATTCAGTCTAACATCAGTAAAAGTAAAAAAATTATAAATTCCTAAGAACACCATGATTATGTAATTAAATGGGTAATAGTACAGTCCTACAGTAGGAATACTACATGCTCATTTTAGAAGATGGTGCTATTTACAATGACTGACATGGAAAGATCTCCTTGATATGTTGCAAACATCATGAGCATAGTGATCATGGAATATGCAAAATTATATTACCACAAAGATGTCAACTGGGATCAGTTGGTTTTCTGAGAGTCAAATGAAAGGAACTCATCTTCCCTTCCTGGCCTTCCAAGGCTAGAATGATATAAGCGGGGAGGAGGTATGGCTTCACCTCCCCACTTCTACTGAATTAGCAAAGTGCCACAGATACTGCTTGTCTTGCATGTGCCCTCCCTTTCCTGCACAACCTACCTGGAGGTGGATCCCATCCTCACATCTTTTCTCTGCAAAAGCCAGACTCAACGCTGTGTGTGTAGCAGATTTTACAGCCGGAGTACAGACAACAGCACCCCAAACAGCTTTCCATGAAATACTGCCAGCAAGGTTATGTTCTTATGGGAACTTCAGCCATCTGCTGCCGAGAATGTCATCCCAGCACGGTTGATCCCCCGGCTCCAGTCCAGACCATTCTCTCACCTCCTTTGCCTCTACTCACAATAGCCCACACCACCTCCCACCCCCAAAGCATGATGACTTCTTCTTTTTTTCCTTTTACCATTTTCCTCAAGGCCATAGTATCTAAGCATCACCATCCAGATCTAAAGGAAACTACTAAACTCTTTTCTTCAAAAAAAAATATATATACATATATAATTTCTTTTCTTTTTTTATTGCATTTTAGGTTTTGGGGTACATGTGAAGAACATGCAAGATAATTGCATAGGTACACATGTGGCAGTGTGATTTGCTGCCTTCCACCCCTTCACCCCTATCTGGCATTTCTCCCCATCCTATCTCTCCCCAACTCCCCCCCCACTGTCCCTCCCCATCCCCCCCAATAGACCCCAGTGTGTAGTGCTCCCCTCTCTGTGTCCATGTGTTCTCATTGTTCATCAGCCACCTATGACTGAGAACATGCGGTATTTCCTTTTCTGTTCTTGTGTCAGTTTGCTGAGAATGATGTTCTCCAGGTTCATCCATGTCCTTACAAAGGACACAAACTCATCGTTTTTGATTGCTGCATAATATTCCATGGTGTACATGTGCCATATTTTCCCTGTCCAGTCTATCATCAATGGGCATTTGGGTTGGTTCCAGGTCTTTGCTATTGTAAACAGTGCTGCAATGAACATTTGTGTGCATATGTCCTTATAGTAGAACAATTTATAGTCCTTTGGATATATACCCAGTAATGGGATTGCTGGGTCAAATGGAATTTCTATTTCTAGGTCCTTGAGGAATCGCCACACTGTCTTCCACAATGGTTGAATTAATTTATACTCCCACCAGCAGTGTAAAAGTATTCCTATTTCTCCACATCCTCTCCAGCATCTGCTGTCTTCAGATTTTTAATGATCGCCATTCTAACTGGTGTGAGATGGTATCTCAATGTAGTTTTGATTTGCATTTCTCTAATGACCAGTGATGATGAGCATTTTTTCATATGTTTGTTGACCTCATGTATGTCTTCTTTTGTAAAGTGTCTGTTCATATCCTTTGCCCATTTTTGAATGGGTTTGTTTTTTTTTCTCGTAAATCTGTTTGAGTTCTTTGAAGATTCTGGATATCAGCCCTTTGTCAGATGGGTAAACTTCAAAAATTTTTTCCCATTCTGTTGGTTGCCAATTCATCCTAATGACTGTTTCTTTTGCTGTGCAGAAGCTGTGGAGTTTGATTAGGTCCCATTTGTCTATTTTGGCATTTGTTGCCAATGCTTTTGGTGTTTTGGTCATGAAGTCCTTGCTTACTCCTGTCCTGAATGGTTTTGCCTAGATTTTCTTCTAGGGTTTTTATGGCGCCAGGCCTTATGTTTAAGTCTTTAGTGCATCGGGAGTTAATTTTAGTGTAAGGTGTCAGGAAGGGGTCCAGTTTCTGCTTGCTGCACATGGCTAGCCAGTTTTCCCAACACCATTTATTAAACAGGGAATCCTTTCCCCATTGCTTGTTTTTGTCAGGTTTATCAAAGATTGTATGGTTGTAGATAGGTTGTGTTGCCTCCGATGCCTCTGTTCTGTTCCATTGGTCTATATCTCTGTTTTGGTACCAGTACCATGCTGTTTTGATTACTGTAGCCTTGTAGTATAGTTTGAAGTCTGGTAGTGTGATGCCTCCTGCTGTGTGTTCTTTTTGCTTAGAATTGACTTGGCTTGGCTCTCTTTTGGTTCCATATGAAGTTTAAGGTGGTTTTTTCCAGTTCTCTGAAGCAGGTCATTGGTAGTTTGATGGGGATAGCATTGAATCTATAAATTACTTTGAGCAGTATAGCCATTTTCACAATATTGATTCTTCCTAACCATGAACATGGAATGTTTCTCCATCTGTTTGTGTCCTCTCTTATTTCGTTGAGCAGTGGTTTGTAGTTCTCCTTGAAGAGGTCCTTTATGTTCTTTGTTAGTTGTATTCCTAGGTATTTTATTCTCTTTGTAGCAATTGTGAATGGCAGTTCATTCTTGATTTGGCTCTCTTTAAGTCTGTTATTGGTGTATAGGAATGCTTGTAATTTTTGCACATTGATTTTGTATCCTGAGACTTTGCTGAAGTTGCTTATCAGTTACAGGAAATTTTGGGCTGAGATGATGGGGTCTTCTAGATATACTATAATGTTGTCTGCAAACAGAGACAATTTGGCTTCCTCCTTTCCTATTTGAATACCCTTTATTTCTTTTTCTTGCCTAATTGCTCTGGCTAGAACTTCCAGTACTATATTGAATAGGAGTGGTGAGAGAGGGCATCCTTGTCTAGTATCAGATATCAAAGGGAATGCTTCCAGTTTTTGCCCATTCAGTATGATATTGGCTGTTGGTTTGTCATAAATAGCTTTTATTATTTTGAGATACATTCCATCAGTACCAAGTTTATTGAGGGTTTTTAGCATAAAAGGCTGTTGAATTTTGTCAAAGGCCTTCTCTACATCAATTGAGATAATCATGTGGTTTTTGTTTTTGGTTCTGTTTATGCGGTGAATTATGTTTATAGACTTGTGTATGTTGAACCAGCCTTACATCCCTGGGATGAATCCTACTTGATCATGGTGGATAAGCTTTTTGA